AAGCAGTGCCCTTGGCCGGCACTTTACCAGCGACAGCAAACCACTTTGTAGCCCAGTCAGGGACATCCGCCAACTCCGGTGTAAGGAGCATGACCGACGCCCGTGGGTAAACTCGATGGAGAAGGCAGATTGGCCACGTATGCGTGCCGGGCTTTATCGCCACAGGGGTGGCGGCCCGCTTGACCGCAGCTTGCTCTGGGTAGTGATACTGTTCCGAGGGCTCCTCCTCGATTTCTGCTTCCGAGGCCATGGCTAAAAACTGATAACCCAGCATGTCAACCAGGCGTTCTAACGACAGGTGGGGGAGCCACATACCCAAAACAAGCTTCATCGTGGGACCAAGTTCATGATACGGGGGCGGCAAATCAGCCAGATGCGGCTTGGCATCCGTCAGGAGGACTTGGGTACAGTCAGCACGGAGACTTGCAATGCTCCCGTTCTCAGCGGAAGGTATCCGGAGAAAAGCCTCCAGATCGGGGCGTTTGATTTGCCGTCCCAGCACGGAGTTGATGAAAGTTTTAGACTTATCCGAAAGCTGGACAGAGCCACACGCAACCCCCATCAAACCTGCCCGCACTGTGCGATCCATCCGGGGGTCGGCCAAGCCACAAATCTTTTTAGTCAATTCCTTATGCACATAATCCCCCGGCGTGAGCTGGAATAGCTCTTCACTTTGGACAACGTGACCATAAGAGTGTCCACCACTGCCAAGTGACTCAGGTCCAGTGAAGTAGTAGAGACGCGCTCCCGCGCCAATCGCTTGCGTCCTTGCTGCCTGGCTGGGCCGGAAGATACAAAGCTGGTCGCTCTCATGATGGACAAGACTAACAGCGTGCCGCAATTCCGAACCCAGGATATATTGCAGCATGGCCCGTGGCATGGCAATGCCGCCCAAACGTGCCTTGATGTGGACAAAATCGCCCTTGCAGTCAGGAAGCTTTTGGCGCTCATGCCAAGCGATAGCCACAGCAGCGCCCGTATACGACCCAGCAGAGAAACCCGTAACGCACAGTTTGCACTCGCCAGCTCTCCCCGCGGCGAGGCCCACATGCAGAGCGGTCAGCGCAGCATGTGCAAGTGAGCCAGGGCCGGGCACATTGTCAGGGAGGCTTCTACCGAGCTGATTCTAGCACGAACCGCCGCTGGCAGACCGCATCCTTCGACCTGAGGGTACAGAGCACGTGCCCACAGCTGGGCGGCTTGGGGCAGGAGCAGCAGTGCATGTGCGGCATTACCGCTGGTCGAAAGCAACAACGGGCGTTGTGTGTCCTCATATCGGACTTTTTTGCCCTGGTTGTCCCGGACTGTTTCCATTTCTAAGCCAGTGAGTGCATAGGAATTGGCTGTGTGAATGATGCTACCCGACACAGTGGGGGGCGTATTCTCGGCCTTCCCATGCATCCCGCTAATGAAGAGCGACCGACATTCCCCTGAGGGGGTTAGGTGAGGCTTTGGGGGCGGGTACTGGTAGGCAGGAAAGGCAAAGGCTGCCAGGGCTTGTTGCACACGCATGGCGAGTCCATCATCCCAGTATTGACTGAGGCCCAGCGGCGTGGCCTTTATGTCTGCAGCAAAGAGAGGCCACGGCAGATCCACCTGGGCCAGCCAAGCATGCGCAGCGGCAGCAAGAAGAGCAAGCGGCCCAGTTGGGGTATTGGGTCGACTGCGCCATTTCGGGGTGGCCCTGCAGGAAGATAGGGCATCTTTCTTCCAAAACATGAGGACTCCAGGGAAGAGCTGGAGCCGCACTGGTCCACTGCCCTTTTTCCCAACAGAGGCCCACAGAGGGACGGTGTCCCCGTTGCCCCAGACCGACTCGGGCAGAGTAGGCAGCCGTACCACACTCCCCCACTGCGGCAAGATGTTTTTGCCTTTGGCACCATATCCATGCACAAAAGGAGGGGGTATAACCTCGGCGTATCGGTTCGCCATGAATAAGTCAGGACCAGGTAGGATTGCCAAACGGGAGTGCAAGCCGCCGTAACCCCTGAGCAAGGGAAGAAATCCCTGTTCATACGGGCCTTGTCCCCATGTTTTGACCCCTCTGACCTGCCTGACTGGGGAGGCGCCAAACTGGATGTCTGGCTCTGGCCGGCCAGTATTAAGGTCGGCCGCTTTCCACGCAACTTCATGTATGTATCTTCCTAAAAGTGCCCACGCAAACACAAAGTCAGAATGCTTGTGAGCAGTGGTTCCGGCAAGAGGGGTGTTGCGTAGACATTGCCGATAATGGATCTGGTCCAACGGCACCTGCTCATGCATACCAGGCAATGGAGTGGGCACTTCACTGGGCATGATGACTAGCTGCAGGGCTCGGCTCAACGCAGTACCAATGGAGGTCACCGCACTAGCGACGTTGCTAGGGATGCAAAAGCGAGGGGGCCGGGGAGTTTTGCCGTCCGGAGCATTCGGGTAGAAGATGACCAATCCCCCATTTGCTTCAAGCTGGTCCTCGGACGCACAAACCATGCCAATTGAGTTTGGCGATCGGGCCCCACACGGTATGGACCCGTCCGGCGAGCAACTCCACGGCGAGGCTGGAAGCGAGCCACAGGGCTGTGTCTCGTCCGTCTCGACTTCCATGCTGCCCAGTGACTCCGTCGAGAGGGTATTGGGCAGTAGATCGAGGACTGCAAACCTTCGCAGCTCTTCTGCTTCCCACCTGGCAGTGAACAAGGTGTCATGGTCAAGCAACATCAAGACCACCCCTGGCGCAAGGACTCTGAGGACTGCCAGAATTTCGGGCCCCGCCCACGTAAAGTGCACAGAAGCTAACCCCGCTTCCTTGGTGTTTACCAAGATGGGAAACCACCTCTCTTTAAACGGGCCTTCCCACTGCATGCGTGCTACCAAATGCCGGACAAAGTAGGGGAAATGCGGAATAGACAAGAAGCAGCGACTGTCCGTGACTAAGAGCAGGACATGGGCTCCTGCGGACTCAGCAGCCCGGAGCTGTGGAAGTAGGCAGCCGAGTAGTGCAGTGTAGTCGATCTCTGGGTGGAGACCTTGCGGCTCAGGCGGTTCGCCGGAAATGGCTCCAGAGGCCAATCTCAATGGCAGGACGCCGCTAGGGGTGGGCTCAGGGAAATTCTGATTACTTTCTAGTGCCTGCGCGAGATCCTCAGGCTCCGGAGGCCCCGGCGCATGGTCAGCACTGAGAGTGCGAAGCTGGCATATAGCCTGCATTGCGGTCGCCGCAAGGACCTGTGGACCTGGGTGGCTAGGGACCTGCCACGGTGGCAGGTCGGCTGCAACTGGCGCGGGAGGTGGCCTCCCATGTGGAATTCGCGGCTCAATCCTACTGACCTCACCCACTGGGTATTCGCCAACACGTGGAGGAATCGGCGGTATGGGAGGGCGAGGACTATTGTCCGGCCAGCAGATCCTAGGTGGATTAGGTGATGGAGTTTGCCAGGGCCCGGGAGACAGGGCTGTCTCCCTACCCACTCCTTGTTCGGTGACAACACTCGCCCAGGGGGGAAGGTCTATCGCGTCACCAGGCAAAGCACTGTGCGTGGACACCGCTCGCCCCATGAGGGCACTGCTATGCGGCATGATGCCGATGCCTGGCCTCCATGCATGCAGGAGAAAACAGCGAACCGTGGGTTGCCGGGCGAAGCAGACGGCGTTGCTGTTTCTCAAAAAGGCAGAGTGGTCCAGACACAACAAAGGTTGTATTTCCGGCGGAAAGTACCGGCACCAACCGGCAACATCGAGAGTTCGTGAGGCAGGATGACGCCGGCTTGCATCTGCCTGGTCATTGCGACATCACTGGTCCCTAAAGTGGCAGTGAGTTGCCCTCTCCTGGCAACGTGAACTTGGAGTGCTTGCGCTCCAACCCGGATCACATACGGTTGACAGGCATACGACTCCATGGCATCACTCACCGAACATGGCAGGCCAAACTCATGTGACTACCACACAGACAGCGGACAACCACGAGGCAACCTTCAGACACCAAGATCCCTGAAAAGCCCTTACACCAACAAAGGAGGACTCCAGGAAGGGGAGGACCAAACCCAAAGCAGAGCACACAGGAGAGAAGAAACAGAGAGGCGAGAAACAAATAAAAACCAGTCAGGAGCGTTACAACCCTCAACACAAGGGGCACCTTGTTCAGTCAGCCAGCCACCCTGAGCTTGAGCCAAGGCACATCCAACGCGCAACCTGAAAAGGAATGCAGCGTGTCATCGCAGGTGGCTGTTACTTGTGGCTGCAATGTGCTGCATGCAAAGCAATGACCTGGAGACAATGGCATCCTTTACTTTGTCCGTGCACAGTAGTAGCACCAGAATGCAGGCATACCTTGGTTGCTGGTCTGTCTCTAGCGACAACACAAGGGCCGGCGCGCATAAATCGATTAAAATGGAAAAAGGGAGGCACTCTCTACCCTGCCCCAACGACTACTCCGGGAGCTCGATATGGTCCGCCAGCAGCCAATCAGGGTCGCTCAGCAATGCAGGCCACACCACATGCTCCGGGTCCTTGCCGATAACCACCTGGCGGATTGTGAGGCCGGGGGCCCAGGGGTACTGCGTGCGTCCGTAGCCCTTGAAGGCAGTAAAGTGTAAGTCTTCGGTAAGGGCTTCTGGCCAGGTTAGAGGTGCTCAATGGCACGTGTTGTCTCGTACAGCGATGAGCAGCGGGGCAACCAGGGTTGGCGGTTGTTGAGTCTCAAGGCCGAAGGGTTTATGAAGATGCCCTGGCAGGAAGAGCATGATGATCGTTGCGACGCGGCCTCTTTCTACCATCAAGGGGAAGGCTACGGAACATGTGCCCCTTGGGTTTTTAGGACAAATGCAGTGCAAAACGCATAGCAGGGTCCTTTCAAGGAACAGAGGCAATGCAAGAAGCATAGCCAAGCATGAGAACTTGCTAAGCAAGGGAACGTTGAATTTGAGTTCAAGCATACAAAGCACTTTTGACCATAATGTACAGAAGCATAGCGCTACATGTCGGTTGTGCCAAAAGAAAAAGGCGAGACCCTTCAATTCGAAGCCATGGATTACACATCGGGAACCGATTCCATGGGCCCCCAGCAGACAGATCAATCTGCATTTCCGCAGGTTCTGGTCGCCCAATCTACGCTGGAGCTGGAGTCCGAGTCTGGCGCTGCGGCAGGCCTTGAGGCAAGTGGCGTAGGACGAGGCCCGGCGATTGCCAAAGCAGCCCCACAGATGAATGGGGCATCAGTGCATGTGAATGATGAGCGGGGACGCCAGGACGATGGCACCTATGGAGCTGTGCATACCGAAGGCCCAGCTGCCCAGATGAGAAGCGATCGTGGTGTTTCTGCTTATAGAGATGAAAGGAAGTCTGGTCTGGCGCCAGAGACCTCGGAAGCTGCTAGTATGGGGATAGGAGCTGGAGCCCAAGGTGATGTCCAAGACATCGATGGCGAAGTTGGTCCCGCGTATCAGCAGACGATGCAGCGAGGAATGTATGTGCCAGAGGACCCTTTTTTGGGACAGAGTGGTGGAAGTCGAGACAGCCGGGACCAGATGTCTGCGGGTTTTCTGACGCCTCGGTCGATGAGGGCGGCGTGGAGTGATTTTCAGGCTGCTAGAACTGGGGTTGGACCGGAGCCGGAAGTGTGGCCAAAATGGGTGCAGCGGCTATCTGGGTTTTTCAGGCCACCACAAATACCTACGGCATGGATGCCAAGCCCTATGCCATCGCCCCTGTTGGACAGACGCAGTGGTGGGAGTGTGCAAGATCATGTGGCTGCCCAGTCAATGGGGGATCCAAGAATGAATGCAGCCGCAAAAACGCCAGCGAAGGCTGTTACTGCTATCCCAAGACCCCCAACGCCACCGAGCTCGTCGAGTTTGCCGGCGGAAGCAATACAGGCCGAGGTGCAGAGACAGCTTGGAGGCTTGCTGGATCGGCTACGACAGTCGGAAGCAGAGACTGCTCGACTACAAAGGTTGTTGTCGGAGGCAACAGCTGCGCCGAGAGTACCACTTCAACCACCGCTGCCAGAAGAGGAGCCTCCAGCGCGAGTAGCAACTGAAACGGTTCCACCGGAAAGGGAAGAGAACCTGGGAGATGTTCATGGTGGAGCCAGGGAAGGAAGCCGGAGAGACCTGCTTGGATCCCTCTGGGATGAAATTTCCGGGCGAATTGGTTCAGTGCAAGCGAGCAATCAGAGCATGAGAAAGGCTGTTTCGGTGAGCCGTTTGCCCTCGCCTCCTCCGCAAAAGGACGACAACCATGTACAACCCCCGCTAGCGCCCTCTATGTCATCAAGTGGACCCCCAAATCTTCTGGATGCCATTGCGAAGGGAGTGCAGCAGCTTCAGGAACTTCAGGTGCAAACACTGAAGCGAGAGGAGGATGGGAGTCCGGAGCAGGTTAAATCTTCGATGACCTCGCTCCCGGCCTTGAAGGCGCCGCAGGGAGACATGGCTGGCGTACGACTGCAAGACTGGTTGGCCTTGGTAAGCACGTGCATGCAGGACCTCTCAGCTGGTTCAGGACTTTGGTGGCAGGAGGTTTTACAAAGGGTGAGCTCAGCGTACATGACCTGGCTAGCAGCAACGCCTTTGGAGCGCCTACAGGTTCAACCCGCTCAGGACGACCCGTTCATCGTCGGAAAATGGACCAGGGTGAATGCTCGAGCTTGCACTCTGGTATTAGGGGCTGTTGATGAATCGTTGAAGGAGGATTTGGTGAGTCGAAGGGCAACCACCAGCATCATAGCTATGTTGTTTAGACTGCATACGGTGTATCAGCCTGGCGGACCTCATGAGAGATCTCGAGTCCTTCGCGCCCTACAAGAACCTCAAACCCCGGAGAACCTCACCCAGGCCTTGGCTCTGCTACGAAATTGGCCGAGATCGATGCAAAGGTGTCAGGATATGGGAATGAGTTTTCCAGACAGCACTGTTTTGGCCAAGGCTCTGACAACTAGCGGTGGAAAGTTCATCACAGAGAGCCCGGACGCGGCTTTTCGCACCCAGTTGCTGAGGTCATCTTTGCGCATTGATGGTCAGCCTAGCCTGGATAGTGTGCACAAATACCACCAACATTTGCAAGCCGAGATTGAGAATATGGCCGCAACGAATGTTGACCAAGGTGGACCAAGGTTGAGAGCGATGAAGACGGGAGACGGCGGTCATGCTGAACAGTCATCATCGGCGAAAGCGACAGCCCCGTGCAGATACTTCTTCAAGAGTCAGGGCTGCAGGCGGGGAGCGAAATGCCCGTACGGCCATGACATGGGGAGCTTGAGCAAGTTTGAAAGGGCGAAAAAGTGTCTTCAATGTGGAAGTGAAGACCACCGTCAGCGTGATTGCCCTACCACCAGAACATCGCGTACCTCAAAAGGGTATACCGAGACGGCGGCAAAGGACGCATCACCGTCGGCTTCATCAACCTCAGGACCTAGAGTTCAGAAGGTCACCTTTGAGGAAAGTGCCACTGCCGAGGACGCCGCAACCGTCAAGGGTGATCCCGTGTGGACAATGGAAGCCCTTCTCAAGGCCGCTGCCCAGGTGATCCAAACCTCAAACCCCGAGCCGGAACCGAAAGCCCCGAGCATGAAGGTGATGAGATTGGGGAGAAGGGAGGATGAGCACTTAGATGCTGAGGACGTGTACGCGCTGATGGATTCTGGAGCCACGCATCCTCTTCGCCGAGCATGGTCGCAAGAAGAATGGCAGCGCGCTGAACCCACCGTGGTAACCCTGGCAGGAGGAGAAAGCGTGGAACTTCGGATGCATGAAGGGGGGACAATCCTGGTCCCTATTTCAACCGAGGGGTATCAGGCGCCTACTGCCCCCATCGTGCCGCTTGGGTCGCTAGTTCAGCAATTGGGGTACACCCTGGAATGGAGCGCAAAGAAGTGCCGGTTAGTTGTGGGAATCGAGGAGATGTACATCATCTACGTGTTCGTAATGGTTGCCCGGAGATTACCGAATGCCAGGCCCTGAACCTGATTGCACGTTTGGAAAACGAGAAGCTTGGGTTGCTGAAGAAGAGTACGGCTGAAACCCGGGAACGTGTGCGACAAGCAGCGGTGTCTCTGGAGAGGAACTGGTTTGATCACCTTCTTCAGTACTGTCGTGGTGAGAGAGCGTCAAATGCCCTTCAGGCAATTGGAGAAGCTCCCTTCTTTCAGAATGTGCCGCTGGAAGCAAAACAGGGATTGGTGGAGGGATACCCAGAGCATAACGGCTGGCAAGCGCTTCGAGGGTTACATCACCTCAATCGCCGCTCGAGAAGAAGATTGCATGAGTCAGACAAATGGATTGTGCACTTGTTCGCTGGAAAGGAGTCCAGGGAAGAGTACAAGTACTTGGAGCGTCATGGCTATGTGGTTCTGGAGCTGGATCTGGAAAGGGGAGCAACACATGATGTTCTCAGTCCTGCTGTGTGGCGAGCACTGGAATGGGCAGCTCGATCTGGAAAAATCGCTGGAATCATTGGTGGCCCTCCCTGCAGATCTTACTCGATGCTTCGGTATCAAAGGCCAGGACCAAGCCCCGTTAGAACCAATGCCTATCCCTATGGTGGTTGGCCTGGACAGCCAGCAGCTGAGGAGGAGCTTGCAGTGAAGGATACGTCGCTGTTTGTGCGGATGATTTACCTTCATGCATTGGCTACAGCTGGTAGGGTGATCGCTCAGCCCGGGCCTGAACAACAACGGGAAGTGAGTTTTCTACTTGAACAGCCCCAGGATCCACGAGAATTCCTTCGGTGGGATCATGAGCTTTATGATGAGGTGGTTAGTTTTTGGAGAAGCGACTTGTGGATTGGCTACGCTAACGAAGCTGGACTCGCAAGGTACTCTGTGGATCAAGGAGCTGTGGGACATTTCGCCAGGAAACCTACCTCGTTGGGGACAAATCTGACCATGCTGAGCTCCTTGGATGGACTTAAGGCGGAGGGATACTTTGATCCGTGGCAGGGATCCTCAAGGGACTTGGCGAAGTGGGGCCCTGGGTTGGTAGAAGCAATCGTGAAGGCGATCATAGTGCACCGCAGTATACCAAGAATGCTAGCCATGTCGGCGGAGCAATGGGCTGATCATGTTCGTAGGGGGCATCTACCATTCAGGCGTGATTGCATGACCTGTGTGCAAGCGGGTGCCACGGGACGGCGGCATTCCAGAGTGGAGCACCCCGACGCTTTTGTCATGACGGCAGATTTGTCTGGACCCCTAAAAGAGCATGGTCTGGATTCACATGGGAGAGGAAGAGCGCCTGCCAAGTTTCGGTACCTCTTTGTGGCCAAGCTTAGAGTTCCCAAGGATTTCGTCGACGATGGACGAGGAGTAGGCCTGGACTATATCCCGGGAGATGATCCTCTACATGAGCCGGTGCCTCCTGATGATGGACTAGAGGAAGAACATGGAGGAGAACAAAGGGTATCTGGTGAGGTAGAAGCGGGAGAAGTAGAGGAGAACGGCGAAAAAGAGGAGGACGAACCTGAGCGAAAGCGGCCGAAAGAAGATCTTGGTGAAGACCTAAAGCCCCCGGACATGGTGAATCTGATTTTCGCTACTGGATTGCATGATAACAAAAGCGCTACGGTGTTGGAGGCAATCCAGGACGTGGTTCTCTACGCTCGCTCCTATAACATCCCAATCCTGAGGTTCCACTGCGATCGATCAATGGAGTTCTTTGCGAAAAATTCACGACAGTGGATCAAGGAGCAAGGGATGAGGATGACCAGCAGTGAAGGTGGAGAGCATCAGTCTAATGGAGCAGCTGAGAACACGGTTAAATGGATCAAGCAGCGAGCCCGAACTCTCTTAGCTGGTGCCAGTCTTCCTCAACGATTGTGGCCATACGCAGCGGACTACGCAGCAACGATGCAGCGATCGTCGGTGTTGGGTTTTGAAGCAAAACTGGCTGCCCCTTTTGGTGCCAAAGTCCTCATCAAGAAGAAGCCCTACATTGGATCAGGACATGGTGGAAAAATGGATGATCTCGCACCAAGATGGGAAGAGGGGAGCTACTTGGGATTGTCCAATGCAGTACGGCAAGGGCATTTGGTGTACATCAACAATGAAGGAGAAAGATTTCTTCACACCGCTCATGTTCGTCCAGGACTACACGATCCAGGACCTCCCACGGAATCTGTTGAAGCGGAAGAATCTTCAAGTGCACGACGCCGATTGAGGGCCAAAACAAGCATAAGATCGATGACGTCGATGGCACAGATGGATCAATCGCTGGCAGAAAAGGAGTTGGAAAAGGAGGTGGAGAGAGTGCTGGGAGAATGGAACAGGGAAGAAGCGGAGGAGTTGGTGGTGCAAGCGTGCTCAATTTTGCCTAGAACTGCAAACAAGTACGGGCTATTTCGACATGGTGGAGTCATGGGCTTGACAAAGGCTACCTATGATCGACCTTGGATGGCACGATTGCTGGTTAAACTTCTTCAGGACGTTGATCCCGACGCGGAGTTTGCATCAGTGTACGTTTCTTTAGATGGAGAAAAGGCCCTTCACAGAGACTCACATAATGAAGCAGGCTCGTTGAACTACTTGTACCCCGTGAAGCTTCCACGCCGAGGAGGAGACCTGTGGATGGAGCTATGTGAGGGTGATGTGGTTACTGGATCCATCATGGAGCTGCAAGACAATAAGGGGAAGATGTACTATGGGAACGTCATACCTCTTCTTGAAGGACAAGTTAGGACCATCAATCCCCGTAAGCGGCATGCTGTACTGCCTTGGAAGGGCAAGCCTGGGGAAAGGATAGTGGTCATTGGATACACTCCGGCTCGAGTGGGGAAAATCTCATCAGCGGAAAGAGAACAGCTGTCTGTTTTGGGCTTTTGTCCTCCAACTCTGACCTACGACGACTCTGTTGCTGTTCGAGCCCTTAGAGTGAAGGCAGTGGACAAATCCATTGTCGAGGAGGAGCCGGAAGCATTGAGTGGAGGTGGGTGGACCGAAAGAGTGGAAACTTCAGATGGAATTCTTCTCTTCGTGGTGGACTGGAAGCTCAGCCGAGAACGCCCGCCAAATCACCCCGTGAGCAATGATGGAGCTGGTGTTGTCCAAAGCAAAGACCCAGAGGAGTGTATGGCGGAAGAGATGTATGTCGTTACGAGCGATCAGAAGGCAAGGATTCCCCTGATGATGTCGATTGAAGCAATGGGATCTAGCCCAGTCGCGGTGAGGAAGACCGAGGTGAACTACACAAGGAATATTGAAGAGCTTTTAGCCTCATTGAAAGAGCCATTGGCTGTAGTTCACACAGTACACCCCTCTGAAGTGGCCCCGAACTTGGAAAACTGGAAGCCGTCGATGATCAAGGAGCTGAATGCAATCGGCCACGCGGTGATCAGGCTCAAAAAAGGAGATCCTTTGAGGGAAGTGTGGATGGAAAAGAAGGGTATGCAAATGCTGCCAATGAAGTTGGTCTACACGGTGAAGCCTCCAGATGCGGCCCCATTGGTTGAAGGTGACGCGTGGTTCAAAAGGAAAGTCCGGGCGGTCATTTGTGGCAATATGGCTGGAGACTCTGATTTGGAGGTATACACTGGTGCTGCCCCTGCAGAGGTTGTACGCGCAGCTCTGTCAATAGCCAGCAAATTTGGTTGGTCGGCAGCAGTGTTGGACGTCATTTCGGCTTTCTTGCAGACGCCATTGGATGAGATCCCGAATGCTCCGATTGTGATCGCTGTTCCCCCTCGAGCGTTGGTCCAAGCCCAGCTGGCAGAGGAGGGAGAACTATGGGGGATAACCCATGCAGTTTATGGTTTGCGTGAGTCGCCCCGTTTATGGGGCATCTTTCGTGATGGCGAGATGAGAAAGCTGAAGACGACCCTAAACGACAAGGAGATCGTCCTGGTCCAAGGTCACATTGAGCCGACGTGGTGGGCAATCAAAATGGAGGGCTGCACCATTGGGATCTTGGTGATTTACGTGGACGACTACTTGATCTTGGCGTTTCCTGATGTAATCACTGTGGTGTCGAATGCGGTTCAGCGGGTTTGGAAGACTTCGGCATTGCAGGTGGCCTCCGCATTGAATCCAATTCGTTTCCTGGGAATGGAGATTCATGTAACCACCCGAGGGTTCACTATTTCGCAACGACCCTACATTCGAGAACTTCTACGACTACATGAAATTGGCAGTCAAAGATTGGATGTGGTCCCTGTAAATCGGGAAATTGGAAGTTTCGAAGCGAGCCCCGAGGAAGGCGTGTTTTCCCAGGAGGAGTTGAAGTTCGCTCAGCAATGCGCAGGCGAGATTCTATGGCTGAGCCAGAGGTCAAGACCAGACTGGGGATATGTGGCCTCCCTGCTATCCTCGTTAACAACAAAGGCTCCGAGGAGGGTGGCAGAGATCACAATGAAGGTATTGGGGTACCTACAACGTACCATGGAGTACGCCCTTTTCTTGGAGGCAGACTCCACTGGATTGGTCTCCTATGCTGATAGCTCGTTTGCGCCGTCTGGAGCGAGATCACATACAGGCTGGGTGACAATGCTGTTTGGAGCCCCAATCAGTTGGCGGTCCAGTCGCCAGTCGACCACCTCGTTGTCGACTGGGGAAGCAGAGCTCAATGCGGCTGTGGAGGGAGCCTTAGCGTTGATGAGCTCACAAGCCTTGCTCACTGACGTAATGGCGAACCCCGTCGACTTGGTTTTGGAAACTGACTCAACAACAGCTTTGTCCCTGGCAGAAGGCTCAGGGTCGTGGAGGACGCGACAGGATCAAGGCGAATTGGTTGTACGAGCACATAAGGGCAGGACATCTGAAGATGGTGCATCGAAGTGGAGAGATACAACCTGCCGATGTTCTGACTAAGGCGATGCCTTCGACGCGGATGATGCAGCTCATGGAACTCTGGAACCTGAAGAAGAGAGCAGAGGAGCTGGAAGATGAGTCAGGGGGAGAAACTGCGTCAACTACGAGCCCTGGCATGAGAGTGCTTTTGGCATTGATGATTTTGGCCCAGTCTATCACACCAAGTAGTTCGGAAAGGCTTGGTCAAGACATTGCAACGCTGGATGATGTGGAGCCGCTCAAGGTTGATCGAGGGCTAGCAACGTGGATTGTTTTCTGTGGATTGGTGTTTATAGCAGTGGCAGCCTGGGAGCTACTCAAGTGGATGGGGTGGCAGGCATTTTTTCGCTTATCACCAGGAGCTTCGTCCAGAAGAATGCGCCGACTGCAAAGGTTAAGGGATGCCACAGCCCAAGCAATAGCCGATGAGTTTATGAGACGTGCTTAGGAGCCCGAGATGGAGCCAGAACAAGTATCACATGTCGATTTTGGCCCAGCTTCGTCATCGTCGAGGAATGGAAGCAGGAGCGCACCTTCCAGAACGAGCGTGGAGCGGCAAGTTCAAACGGACCCACCTGCTATTACAAGGCCAGACCCTCCGCCGCAGCAGGTCGTGATTCGGTACCTAACAGAGCCGCCGCCGGACCATGTTTACCAGTTGCCGGGAAGGCCAACATATCACATCCATCGTGACTGCTATGCCTTCCGACATCCTGGAACCTCACTTCGGGTAGAGTCTTTACAGATTTGCGGCTTTTGCTTGAGACATAATGGACGAGCGCCCCCTGGAAGTGAGAATGAAGGATGAAGCATGCCTAGCGTCTGCTTCAAGGAGGAGTGAAGATGCCCTGGCAGGAAGAGCATGATGATCGTTGCGACGCGGCCTCTTTCTACCATCAAGGGGAAGGCTACGGAACATGTGCCCCTTGGGTTTTTAGGACAAATGCAGTGCAAAACGCATAGCAGGGTCCTTTCAAGGAACAGAGGCAATGCAAGAAGCATAGCCAAGCATGAGAACTTGCTAAGCAAGGGAACGTTGAATTTGAGTTCAAGCATACAAAGCACTTTTGACCATAATGTACAGAGCATAGCGCTACATGTCGGTTGTGCCAAAAGAAAAAGGCGAGACCCTTCAATTCGAAGCCATGGATTACACATCGGGAACCGATTCCATGGGCCCCCAGCAGACAGATCAATCTGCATTTCCGCAGTTTACGTAAGGCCACAGCAATGAAATGGAGCAACCGACCCGGTTGACGGGGGCAGAGGAGAGGAAGACTGGGCAGTCTTCCTTGGACATAACACGATGAACAATCAAGGCAAGACCAGTCCAGAGTACTCCATGGAGGTCAGCAGTGGTGCAGCCCCGAGCAAGAGGCTCTCCGCTCCATTAGGCTCACCGCAGACCCAGAAGGGTGTCCTAGTTCCGACAAGTTGCATCGTAACCACCTCGAGCAGACGCGACCTTCAGCCAAAAGGGGTTTGTTGGCGCTTGCAAGCACGCCTGACCAACTGCATCTTCGGAGCGATGCATCTTGATCCCCTTGCGCCAAGCCCTTGAAGGACCCACCTACCAGCAGAGCCCATGGCAGATCTCTGCCTCCCCTGGCCTGACCCCCTCGCTGCTCGGCAGGTGCCCATTACCATGTCCGCAAGAAAAAGTCGGCTCCTCGCCCAGAATCACGACGGTTCAAACATCGGTCTCTGGGCTCATGTGGCGCGCACTCCAAGCAGAACATCACTTTGGGAAGAATGTCAGCCTGGCCCCCACATGAGCCTCTTTACTTAAATCTGCCAGCAGCTTCGTGCGCACAGGACCTCTGAAGATGTTGTTTAAATGGCTTACCGCACCAGCTGCAGAATTCGGACGCGTTATCCTAATTCCCCTCCATTGCAGACACCCTTCTTCATTTGTCCAAAACTTTTCCGGCATCTTTCTGAAGGCGGAGAATCCTCTGACATGTTTCTTTTGAATCACTTCTCGCACCTCCGCTGGCTCAGAGGTAGACTGTTCAGTCGCTCCTCCAAGAGGGAGCGCTTCGTACGAGTCAGGAAACTTGCAAGCAAGCACTGCAGACCAGCCAGGGCTCCATGGTGGTCAGCAGTGGGGCACCCCGAGCGCAGCGACAACTCCCGATAACGGCCACTTTCAAATTCTCGTTACTGGCGGCATCACAAGGCGTGGATGGCGTCCTGTATTTGCCGATATTGCACCACCTTCTGGTACTGAAAGGTAGTAAGCGCGGCAAGGGCCAATTACCCTGTATCTGATTTAAGGCGCACCTGACCAACATCTGTTTTGCTTGCATGGAGGCATCCTTCTGGAGTGGATGGTGGCTTTTGAATGAATGTGCAGCCACTGATATCCTTGAACACATGGCTAAAGAAACAACATCTTGCCAGTGTAGATAGGAAGGCTCGCAACTCGCGAGCACCGACAGTTGAGGTTGCCGAATGTCATTCTGCGCCCAGTACTTCTGCGCTGGTTGTCAGTTTGTTTGTCAGCCGGCAGGGCTGCCGCAGTGCGAGAAAAATCGTGTGAGAACAACAGCATTATGATTTCCTGATGGAGTGGGGTTTTATTTCCTGAAAGGTTACCGCCCGAGAGGTCATGTCCGGCTTTATGGGTTTAGAGCCAAGGGGTTTTGGTGAGGGTTGAGGGCTCAAGGGGATTTTTGAGTTTAGGGTTTGCACTCAGGGGGTTTTTGGGTGGTTTTTTTCGTTTAGGGTCATTTTAGGGTTTGGGCTCAGGGGTTTGATGGTTAGGTTTTTGGTTTTTGTGGGTTTAAAGTTTAGGTTTTTGAGGGGTTTTTTCGGGTTTTGCGTTTTATGGGTTTAGAGCTTAGGGGTTTTAGGGTTTGGGGCTCAGGGGATTGTAGGGCTTGGGGTTTTTTCGGGTTTAGGTTTTTCGTGTTTCGGGCTCAGAGCTCTTGAGGGTTGAGGGGTTTTCAGGGTTTAGGGTTTGGAGTTTTTGCAGGGGTTAGGGTTGAAAAAAAGGAGGTTTTTTAGGGTTTTGGAGGCTTTTCCGGTTTTAGGAAGGGTTTTATTTAAGTTTTGTAGGGTTTAGGGTTTAGGGTTTTTGGGCTCAGGGTTTTTAGGGCTGAGGGTTGATCAGGGTTTAGAGTTTTCAGGGTCTCGAGTTTCGGGCTTCTTAGGGTTGAGGTATTGGGGTGTGTTAGGGGTTAGGGTTTTAGGGTTTATTTTGTTCGGTGTAGGGCTTAGGTTATTTTTGGGCTGAGGGCTTGAGGTCCTTTAGGTTTTTTTTTCGGGTTTCGGGTTTAGGGGTTTTTAGGGTTTAGGGTTTTTCAAGGTGGGTTTAGGGTTTTTCAGGGTTAAGAGTTTGGGAATTTTTGTGGGGTGTATTTGGGCTTAGTAGCTTAGGATTTTTCAGGTTTACGGCTCAGGGACTTTTTGGGGTTTTGGGGTTTCGGGGATTTTAGGGTTTAGGGTTTCGGCTTTTTTCGCCCCCCTTCCCATTTGCAAACGCAACGCTCGCGTGATGGGTTCGAAAAAGAATACAGCGGGGGGCAGCCCTCCCGCATTTGCAAACACAATGCTCGGCTGATGGGTTTAAAAAAAGCTTAAGACGCTCGCGTGGGTAAAGCGGGGGGGCTTGGCCCCATTTGCAAACACATACCTTGGAACAGGCCTGGCAAGCTTGTTGGTTGCTGGTCACCAACCACTTCGAAACTAGCTCCAAGGCCTTGCAAGATTGTTGGTTACAAAGCTTCGAAACTGGCTCCAAAGCCACCAAGATTGTGGTCACAAAGATTCGGAACTAGCTCCAAGGCCTTGCAAGAACACCAAGCTTCGAAACTCGGGTAGGCCTTAGGATGTTTTAGGGTTGAGGATTTAGTGGTTCCAAGCGGTTAGGGATTCTCAGGATTTAGGGTTTAGGGGTTTTGAGGGTTCAGGTCTTAGGGGTTTCAAGGGTTAGGGTTCTTTGGGCTTAGACTGTTGGGTTTAGGTTGTTTTTGGGTTTAGGGCTCAGGGTTGTTAGGGATTGGCTCAGGGGTTTCAGGGTAAGCCCCCGGCTCAAGTGAAACTTTTTATTTTCTGATTTGTGTTGCGTGGGGGGCCACAGTGTCCTCTGTCTCCGTAGCCCGGTAGCTTTGGTGCCATGGTTGCATGTCTTCACAAGCCATTTCCAGAGACGCATGCATGGGGAGTGATTGTGAGACTGATGATGCTCGTTGCCGTGGTTTATGCGGGCACGGGGGACGACAAAGAGACAGCCCACACTGGTATGCGGACACCGCGCCAGGGGGGGCGACAAAACAACAATGAGACGAATTTTCAGTGTACCCAAGACATTAATCAGCTTGCGGCACCCATCCCGCTGACCTGTCAAGGGTACGCTGCTACGACACTGTCACCGCAAGGTCGCCTTGGTCGCCATGGTCAGGTGCGTGACCAACCCACCGATGCTGCGGAGCCAGACACACAGACATCCCCAGATCATGCTCTACATGTGTCCACTGCGCCTATAGTTACATTTCACGTACAGGGAGCGCTGCATGCCTTGACTGTGATATGTTGGATTCACTTCTCCGGTGAAGGCCAGGCGTTATCTGAGCAGGATTTTGATTCAGCTCTCAGAAACACTGCGCTACAAATACCAGTGGACACAATCTTTTCAACGATACAAGCCACGTTGATACAATGGGGGGAGCTGAAAGGGCGGAGGAGATCACCCAATTTATGGCCCACATCGCCAACGTTTTGCGGCCTCATCCAGGGCCAGCACGCAGGGCCAGCTATCGGGTCCTAACGCACGTCGAACTATCATGCGATTGCCTAATCAGCCACAGCGTCTGCAGGCTCACACCGAACACTTGAGCTGCGCTTGAGCGAACGAAGGCTTAGAGAGACTGGTGACCGCACACAGATCTCACACCAAGGTTGCTTTTTCAGACCGAGCAAAACCAACATGCTGCGTGCGTGCGTAACAGCCTTCTTCTTGTGGCATCCAGCCTTGTCCTTGTCCCATGCATTTCCGTCAGCCTTGTGCAATGTACACGTTGTTTCCGAACCGTATATGGGAGCGGGTGGATACCCACCATGGGACAGGCCGGGGTCAGCGGACACCGCTACTCTGCAGACAATGTGTTGCTGGCATAGGGCAGAACGTTTTCAATGCCATGTGCGTTTGCTGTATCGCAGGCTACAGCAGCATGGAGATGACACCGCGAGCCGAGGGGGTCTGACGACATGTTTTCTTTGGCAATCCCAGTGGCCATATCTGAAATCCATTGCTGCAGGTACGGAGGAGACAGAGCTCGCACCTACGACGAACTCCACAGGACTACAACGTGCTGCCATGCCATACCGCAGTGCATTGCAACAGCCCCACATGATTATAGGGTCAGTGCCCCAGGCAACAGCTACTCACATCACTTTGCTGCGAGATTCGGGTTCAAAGGAGCGTATCTGTTGTGAGCTGTGTGGCCTCTGTCACTCTTGGGCCCCTGCCGAGTCACAGACATGGCGGAAGAAGATGAGAACAGCCCGGAAATGCCCCTCGAAGACGACGACGATGCTTCTGGTACAATACGGGAGATCATGGAGACCCCTACACAGAGACGGTCTCGTACCAGAACCAGATCCCCTGTGGCTGAGAGGTCCTCCTCTGCGAAGGCAAGTGGTAGTGCCGCCACGGCCGAAGGGCGGGGGGTGCCGGCGATTCAAGTACCGTGGCGAAGGCCAAGACAGGAATGGAGGAGGCAAGGTTCCGAAGCCCAGCACGCAAACTGGCATGGGAGTTTCCTGAACCGATCGAGGAATGGCAACCATTGCCATATGAGGAGCTCAGGCGATGGTATCAGAACCACTGGGGTCGGCGACAGTCCCGCTCATCTACGTCCTGGATGCCACAGGCCTCCACTGGCAAAACCTCAAGCTCTAGCAGCGCATGGAGGCGTGCGCCCCCTCAGCCACCGATGTCGAGGCGACAAAGAGCGAGTCAAAGCCAGAAGGACCAGGAGGAGGAAGTGGGACAGCCTGATGTCGACCCTACATCGGAGCGAGCAGTGGAGGCCGTTCACCCGATTGTGAAGGTAGAGCCGTCAGAGCCGTCTGCCCCGAACGCTGGAAATAAGACGAAGCCCGAGCTGAATGAGGAGCACACGATCAAAGCGGAGCTGGAGATGAGCGAAGTGGAGTGTGACATCATCGTGGATTTGAAGTCACGAGTGAACAGCTCCTGGATGCCATGCAGATGACATGGCTGCCGGCACTGGAGCAACGCCTGTGGAGGACAACGGAGACATGTCTCTTATGCTCGCACAGCCCTGGCTCCCTCAGGGACTGGCAGCGGCACTTGCTCACCAAGTCCCACTCCAGGATCGCCAACGAGGCAAAGATGACGTGGTACCACCTCTACTTGGTCATGAGCCTGCATGATGACAGAATGTGCCCCGGCATATCTTTCACTTTTGAGGTAAGTGCATCCTTTGAGACACATAGTGTGTGCCGCGCACCCTCGCCCATACAAACATCAGGCGCCGCCAAACGGGGAACTCAGCACCACAGACAAGTTCGAATGAGCCCAGCCTTGTATCGCAGAACGCAGCTCTGCTCTTCAAACAGCTGGTTGACGCGCTTCATGGAGTGCAATGACGCCCAATTTCGTGATCCCTTCGGGAGGTGTACCCGGAAGCGGACGGAGGTACTTGGAACACCAGACCTCCCGATCGAATATCAGCTGTGGATGCCGATCCCTGCGTGCTCAGACAAACAAAGTTGCAGCAACCAAGGGGAGGCTAGAATGCATAATCGTCACCAGGACTCCAGCCACGAATCACTTTAAGTCCTGACAGGTCGAGATGGAGAACGCACCGATGGAAAATACGAAGGTGGCATCGCAGGCCACGGGCAAGCCATCCCATATTTCCATTGCTTCAGTACTTGTGGTCCTACACATGTCGATGGATGCATCTCCAGGGCCCACGAGTAAGGACGTCGTGCTCAGCCGCCCCAACATGTCTGGTGCAACACCGTAGTGAATGACCCACCGGAGTATGATCCCCCCTTGCATAAGGCAACACAATCTTTCGACTTAAGCGATTTTCTTTCCTTGAGCTTGTCCGGTCCCAAGTCCGGACGACGTGTCGAGCGTGACACGTCGGGGGCGAGGGTTGCGACAGCTGCCCCACTGTCGCGGGAGCCTGTTCCCAGACTCCTTCACAAAGGCTTCAGGGCGAAGCAAGGGGCCAGACACCGGCGACAAGCGAGCGACTCAGATTTTTCCTCATTGATTTCGAGAGCAATGTTGAGGAGAGCTGCACACACAGTACCTATCATGAGCATTGTGTGCAGGTGTAAACAAACGGGAGTAGCGGCCACCGCTGTCCCCCATCACGGAGATGGATCGTCCCATGGATGGACCGCCAAGAGGGCTTACCGAAGAGCCAGACAGAGTGCCAGCGCTGCTGGAGGTACTTGGTATAAGGGTAAATGGCATACTGCACAAACCCCAGGAGCCATTGCCTCCACACCGACAACACCGGCAACGAGAACAACCACTACGCGATCACCCCAGAGCTTGGCCAATCGCTTACGCATTTGTTCGCACAATGTTGGCATGCTTTCAACAGATGCACACGATGAATTGATGTCCTGGTTGCAAATGAAGCAACATCAATATGATGTGATTTGCATTCAAGAAACGGGATGGTCCCTGGAACACTTATATTTGAGTGGGCCATGGTATGTGATTAGTTCGGGGCACTCGGCGGATAGGAACAGCGGAGTCATGGTGCTCGTCGCTCGCAGACTTCTTCCCTCCGACCGTATCCGATATGCGGCCATAATCCCGGGTAGAATCCTCCACGTTAAGCTTGAATTCTCCAATCACCATGTTGATGTCATTAACGTATACCAACACCCTTGGAACACTGCGGTCACCGCGTCCAAGGTCCTGCACCAAAGAGACCAAATTTGGACTAAATTGAACCACACCATTGGACAAATGGCGGTGAGAAACACACTGCTTATCTGTGGGGATTTTAACACACCCTTAAGTTCGTCATCAGGAAGAGTTGGCTCAGGTATCCTTCAGAAAATCTCGCCACCACCTGATATGTCGACTTTTGATGCCATACTGGAAACGTACAACCTCGTGGCCCTAAATACCTGGGGAGACCCGGAGAAATCCAGAACTTTTTATTCGGATCTGGCAGAATCGCAAATTGACTTCGTCCTCACCAGACGCAGAGCCGCTGATCCACGCTCGAGGAAATTGTGGCCTGACCCAAACATCAGGCTTTTTGAATGGAGAGGAGGTGGCAGACATTTGTGCTTACATGGCTCTATTCCGTGCAAAGTATATCAACCGGCCCCCCCGACCAAACATGCGTATGCGCGACAGGACCTATTACATGCAGCGCAACACAATTCGCCAGCGTTTCAGAGTCTTGAGCATGCGATCACAGAATCCCTAAGCACGATGCAGAGCCCTTCGCCGGAGGCCTTGAATGACATGCTGCTGGAACGTTGCCAGGAATTCTTTCCGGTCGAACAGGATGACAGGCGCAAGCCATGGCAAATGGCTGAATCTAAGGCAACGGTTGCACAAATGTGGCGAGAACGACGCATGGCCCGTAAACAGGCCACATGGTACCAGATGACCGACCACCTGCAGTATCTCTTTAAGGCCTGGAGGCATCAATGTCGTTTTCAGCAGCTGCACTCCAGTTTCCGGAAGGATGGCAGAAGGAGACGCAGGGATCTCTACTTGGAACAAATCAAGCTTGCGGAAGAGGCAGCACGCAAAGGGGACCAGAAGGGATTGTACGCAGTGGTTCGCCGACTAGCACCTAAGCAGGAGAGACGACGAGTGCAACTACGAGGAGACGATAACAACGTACTTACAAATGAGAAGGAACTTGCAGCATTGTCCACCTTCTGCCAAGAGTTGTTTCTGTCCGCAGCTTCAAATGTGCCCATTCCATACGAAGACCCAATGATACGATTGGAGGAGAATGAACTGCGAGGCACGTTGCAGCTACTCAAGCCCGCCAAAGCTGCGCCCAGGCACCTTGCCCCGGCAGTTGTGTGGAAGCATTTGTCACACCTACTGGCAGGTCCACTACTGCAAGCATATCAACGAAACCTAGACAATGGTCTGATACCGACAATCTGGACAGGAGCGTGGATAGTATGGTTGCCGAAGCCATCCAAACCACCTTGTTCCCCAGGGAACTTAAGACCGATTGCCTTGCAGGATTGCGGAGGCAAATTCATCGCAAAGGCGCTGCAAATCCGCGCTGCACCATGGGTACAATCTGCCATACAACACCAACCCCAATATGCTTATTCCCCAGGGCGACTCTTGGAAGCTGCCATCCTACGTGCCATTCACCACTGCCGAGACATCAAGCAATTACTGCTGGACAATGATGGCGGACTACGAGCCAGGCGCCAGGGCAAAAAGAAAGGGGATTGTGTTGGAGGCGCCACGCTTGCTCTGGATATGAGCCAGGCTTTCGATCGTGTGGATAGAACCAAACTCTGCGAAGCACTCTGCCGCACAGGCATGCCAGCTGAGCTGATCAACACGATAGTTCATTGGCACAACACCATCCAGTATCATGTACAGGTGGCCGACCTCAAGGAGACCATACATTGTGGCAGAGGCCTGAGGCAGGGTTGTACCCTGTCCCCCACCTTATGGGTGGCAATCACAAGCCACGTTCTGTACATGCTTGGGCAAACTGTGACGGAGGAATGGATTCGAGATCAATTGACTCTATTCGCGGACGATGTTTTGGGGCAGTGGTCGTTCAACTCGGAACAGGACTTAACGTTTATGCTGCACTGTATGGATGCCATTTTCAGTGTATTGGAAGCGTTTGGCATGAAAGTCAATGACCAGAAATCCTCACTCATCATCCAAGTCAAGGGTCGAGTGGCGACGGACTGGTTGAAAGCGCGCGCACGGACTGTGAAGGGGGTCAAAACTTTTGTCACAGCGACACCCCAAGGCAGAATTCTGTATATTCCAATTGTGCAACAGATAAAGTACCTCGGAATCATGCTGAGCTACCATAACCCTGCGAAACACACAGTGGCCTATCGATTGAGACAAGCGGAAGCGCAACGTCGGAGGCTACAGAAGGTCCTACAGGGGAAACACATTCTGTCGATCAAACAACGAGTCCAGCTATGGAAGGCGTATGTTTGGACTTCTTTACAGCATGGTCTGAATGCAGTGGGAGTTGGCTGGGAAGAGCTCAGACAGATCCGTTCATGTTGTGCAAGACAACTACGAGCACTTTCATCTAGCCCAGTCCATATAACACATGAAAGTACGGAGGCCCTCTTTCGACGCCTTGGTTTTGAGGAACCACATCTATTGTTGGGCAAACGGATGAACACCCTTTCCACTACTTTGGCGAACAGCAGGGACCCAATGATGCATACGACGAAGCTTATCAACACAGTTCAACAGAATCAATGGCAGCTCGAAAAGGCCGTTAGACACTGGCAGAACATCAAAGCTCGACAAAAATCCGAAGACTCACCAGACAATGGTTCCCTTCTACTCCCCAGAAAGGGCGGGATGTGGCTGCAACCTGTAGTTACATCCAGAGGTGTTTTGCCCGCTCAGTTCATGTGTCCCCAATGCCTACTTTTCTTCGTGGATATGCGGATGCTGAAGAAGCACCATGTTGATTCACACGGCACTCCCCTCGAACCCCTACTTCGCAATTTCGATCGTTTCTTGCATAGCCGAGATGATATGCCCACTTGTCGACATTGCGAACATGAGTTCCAAACATGGCAGGCGCTACAGGGTCATATCTTGGGTAATCATTGTTCCGCTTTTTGGCTGAAATGCCAAGATCCACAACAGGAGACTGAGGACACCTCGTCTCCAGGCCAACCCACTCTTGAACAGGGAAAGATGAATGAGCGGAATTTTTCCACCAGCACTGGCCCTGTAATGTGCCATGATGATTTACGCAATTTCCTGGGAACACATGGGTGGCCTGCAATAGTGCAACTCCGATCCATGTGTATGCATTTGCGGTCTCACTGCGCGATTTGTGATCAATGGACACACCCATGGAAGTTGAAGTTGCATTACAGGGGAAGCCACTCTACGATTTGGCAGGATTACGGTATTATGGTGGACTCGGACGGGATTCAGTAGAAAGCAAGCGCATCTACGATCCCTTTTTCATTTTAGGACAGCGAGGGTACGAGCGTTTTCAAACTGTGATTTTCTTGGACATATGCAGTTGGTTACCTGCGCATGCTTTGAGGGCACAATGCATCACTGCCTGTGCGCGTGAGTGTGCTTGATGGGCAATGCAGTTTTTGTGGGTCACGTTTTGCTTGACTGCGTTTTTCCTTCATGTGCAGAAATTTTCTTGATCGGGTTGCTATCCCGGCTTGCAACGCAGTGCTCAAGTGTGAGCGACAGAGTGAAAATTGTAGCTCAGGCGTTTGCCGAGCTAAATTGTTGAGCCTCCGCTACTCCTGTAGGGGTGCTAGAGGTTCGAGGTGCTAGTGGTCTCCCCTTAGGGGTCGTGCAAGCCGGGGGCCTGTGTGCCCTCGGTGGATGGACAGCACCTCGAGTTCCGAGGAGAGCTCCCTCAGCTGGGATTGGCCTCCCGTGCCTGTCTTTCAGGCGCCTGCCTTTCAGGCGCTCAGCATCAGGCCTCGCTCTTTCCACCTTGCATCCCTTGAGCGCAGCCTGGAGGCCCCTCCCAGTCTCTTCACGTACGTTTTCGAGAGTTCTCTTTGCGGAGTGCTTGTCAGTTCCCGGGAAGGGGCCCGAGTGCTCCTCTGGCTCGATCCTTCCAGTTGGCTTGCACTTGCTTGCTCCGGCCGAAGGCCGCACGCGTGCGCCCGACAGCTTCTCCAGCTGTCTGCATAGTTGCCCTTTTCCTAGATGGCTCAGCCCCCTCGTGCCCCAGAAGGTTTGCTAGCTGGGGGTTTGGATCCTGGGTCCCTTCGTGTGCCTGAGGACAGCGACCGGCGGAGACAGGCAGAGGTGCCTGTTCAGGATTATGAGGCTCATTTGGCTGCCTGCACTCGCAAGGTTAATAAGACGGGCTATTCTCGGTCTTGGCATTTTCGGTTGAGGCCTTCTTCTGTGCTCTTTACCGGTGAGTTCCCACCAGTGCCCTCGCTCGTGCCTGTGATCACTCCAGTGACGCCAACCGTTGCTGCAGTCACGAAGATTGCGATTTCCCGGGTTCGTTTGGACGATTCTTGGGGTGCTCACCTTGAGAGGAGGCTTAGTGCTGCCATACAAAAGTGGGTTGCCTTAGTGGTTGAGGATCCTTTTTCTTTTGACGTTGGTAGGCGGTGTGCTGCTTTCGTGGGAAATGACGAGGCGATTTCTCAGGGCCTTCTGCACACTTTTTCGGGCAAATCGGCAGGTACCTTGCACAGCCGGGCTGGGCCTCTCATCAGGTTTGTTGCCTGGGCCAAGGCTCGCCAGTGCAAGCCCCTACCCTTCAGCGAGGCGCTTTTGTATGATTTTCTGCTTGAATCCGAGAGCACTTGTGCGCCGTCATTCGGAAAGGCGTTGATGTCTGCACTTGCATTTTGCAAATTTGTGCTGGGCGTTGAGAATGTTTCTGATGTTCTGAGCAGTGGTCGGTTTGGGGGCTTGGCTCGTTCGATGTTCCTGAACAAAAGGAAGCGACGGCAGAAGCCACCCCTCACCGTCGATATGGTGAAGGCCCTTGAGAGATTGGTGATCTCCGAACGTGAAGGAGATATCGACAGGCTGTGTGCGGGGTTCTTCCTCGTTTGTGTTTACCTTCGAGCAAGGTATAGCGATGCCCAAGGTCTGAAGAATCTTGCAATCGACGAGCCTGAAGGTTTTGCTGGCCGCTTGACAGGATATTTTCAAGGGGAAGCTTCAAGGACAAAGACGAGTTTCTCGCTGGAAAGGAAGACGGCTCTGCTCCCGATGGTTGGGCCACTTTTCGGCCTGACTGCAGTTCCTTGGTTTAAGACATGGTTAGGTCTCCGCGAGGACATGGGCATTCCTGAAGGCGAGGACTTTCCTTTGCTGCCGAGTCGTGGGCTAGAAGGGGGTTGGGCTCCGGTCCCACCTTCAACGGTGGCCGCTGCATGGCTCCGGGGGATTCTTATCTCTAGAGGCTTCCCTGAGGCACGCAAGCTCGGGACTCACAGTTGCAAATGCACATGTCTTTCTTGGCTGTCGAAGCACGGAGTTGATCCTCTGCATCGGCGTGTTTTGGGGTATCACAAGGCCCCGCAGGATGAGATGATGCACGTTTATGGGCGTGACAATGTTTCTCCAGCCCTGAGGTCGCTGGAGGCTGTCATCCAGGACATCAGACAAGGCCTGTTTTTGCCGGATGTCACTCGGTCGGGTTACTTCCCGACCCAGCCGCAGAGGGAGCCTGGGCCTGAGTTCGTTGAGGAGCCATCGGAATCCGAAGTTTCGCTCGATGAAGAGGATAATGTGCAAGACTTGAGAGCGGAGGAAGCGGCCGCTGATCAGGTTGTGCCGCCTTGGGCTGAACTTGTGGTTCAGGATCCTGATGCTCAGGTTTATGTTCGCCATATAACTTCAAGGAAGTTGCACCGCCTCGCTGACGAGAGTGGGAATAGGCTGAAGTGCGGAAAGGCGTGCACGCGAAAGTTCGAGAGGCTCAGTGAGAAACCAAAGTTTATGGCTGACATGTGCTTGAATTGTTTCAAGTGAGCCCGGCTCAACTGAGGGGCAGCCGGATCACTCGGCACATGGGTCGTGTCTTTGTGACGCAGCCGGATAGACTCGGCTATGCACTCACCGGTCCTCGCGGTGGATTTTGATTATGTGAGCAGTTGCACCGGTGCTCGCGGTGTTTTGGTGTGCCGGTCCGCTCGGCGAGCTGAAAGAGCTCAGGTTAACCGGGGCACGCGGTTTTGGAGGGAAGTCAACCATGACTTGAAAATGTGGCTGTACGGTGCTGTGGTTCCGTGAGGGTGTGATTTGCATACGACAACTTCTTGTTGTTGTGAGTGATAACTTGAGCATACAGTTTTGGCTGAAGGATCGTGTAGTGCACTTGCAGGACCATTCGCCATGGCCATCACCGAGAGCAAGGCAAACTTTTCTTCCAGGGCGACGGCCTTGGGGTTGGCCGCTGACGTTTTGAAGAAGTTCACTGATGCCGGCATTGATTGCATGAGCAAGTTTGCCTTCATTAGTGCGTTCGTGCCCGGCAACACTGACGAGTCCCCTTTTACCGATGCAGTTGCTGGGGTTTTGGGGCGCGCTGCTAATGTGGCAGAGTTGAGCGTGCTGCGCAGGCTTCTTCATGAGAGCTACAACCTCACTGTCTCAGAGCTTCAGGTGCAGGTTGAAAGAACGGAAGATTCTGCTCCGAGGCGGTTGGCGGCTCCCGATCGAGCCGATAGGCTTCAGCGGCAACACTGGCTTGAACATCCATGGCCCTACTCTCCCGGGTCATTCGGTCATCGATCGTTGCGTCCAGATGTATGAGGATAATTCTCTTTCATACCTACCTTTGCAGTCTTGTCCCTGCCGGGATGATGAAGTGAAGTTCAAGAAGGACCGAGATGACAAGATGCTTGCTGTGGATGGCACGGGGCACGTGTCTCTTAGGTCGCAGGCCGTGAAAGTGGAAGCCGACGTGTCCACTGACCTTTTGCTTAAGCATGCACTTACACGTCGTGGGCTTGCGCTGGACCAAGCTGGCATTCTGAGCTTTGCGGAGCATGAGCGTTGGTCTGAGGCGTTGTTTCAGGCTCGATTTCGAGATCCGCCAGACCAGTATGCCCGTGTCACGCTCCAGCAACTCATCCAGGCGGACAGGCAGGTTTTTGTTGAAGCAGCTGATCGGACCCGCCAGGGGATTCAGGTGGTGGCTTCCGGACGACCAGTCGATCGCATTTGGAGTGACGCCATGTCTTGCAACAATGTCACTCACCTGCTGCAACCCTTGCCCTTGCCTCCACCAGCTCCTTTGCATCCACGGCCTGGGCCCTATGATGACCGCAGGGGTTTGAAGGGTCGCGGTAGGGGAAAAGGGAAAGGTAAAGGAAAGGGAAATGTTCGTATGCCTGCTGAGCTGTCCGATGGTGTGCCAGTCACCACCCGGGGCTTGCCCATCTGCTTCGACCACAACTTGGGGCGGTGTCAGCGTGCCGTTACTAGTGGCAAGTGCGATCGTGGTCTTCACATTTGTTGCATCAAAGGTTGCTTCAAGCGGGATCATGTCTATACGAATTGCCCCAAGCATAAGAGGGAGTGACTAGGCTCTGAGGCGCAGGTCCACGTGACTGATGATAAAGATGTAGCACAGCTTGGTGAGGAGCTTGTGCTCTCTTCTTCCGATGATGAGATCCCTGAAGGGGAGTCATCACCGAAACACGTCCCGTGCTCGGCCTCAGTTCCGCCTCAGCCGCTTTCCGACAATCCCGAAGCTTTTGCGTCTCAGCTGCTCGAGAAGCCGTGGCTTGAGGCGAGCGATGTTTTGCAGCTTTTTGAGATGTTGCCAATGGCCGCGCCCCAGCGTGGAACTGAGGGCAAGGCTTTTGCTACCGGAGCGTTCGCTCGAGTCAAGGTTGGGTTGCGTACTAATGTTGCCGTTTTCCCTCAGGCGTCCCGCGTCTTTGCTTCATTCGTGCGCCAATCTGCCCCAGGACATAAGTTCACTTCAGTTGTGGTTTTTGAGGGGGTTCGCACTAAACCCCACCGTGATCAGCAGAACTCGTGTGTACCCAATTTGGTGGTTCCTTTGTCAAGTTTTGAGAAGGGTGATATTTGGGTGGCCACTGACTCTGGAACTGTCTCTCGACAGGTCAATGGCCAGCAGCAGAAGGGAGTTCTCTTGCCCGTGGGAGCCGGGCCCGTGCTCTTTGATGCACGTCGTGCTCTGCATCTCACTGAGCCTTGGAAAGGCCGCCGTGTGGTCTTAGTGGCCTTTTCTATAGGTGCATTTTCAAGGCTGTCCAGTGAGGCTTCTGAACGCTTGTCTGCCCTGCAGTTTAACTTGCCAAACCAGCCCGATGCTGCTGCGTTCCAAGAGCGCCCGCAATTGCCGGTGCGTCTTCCCTGGCCGCCTCGATTGCCCCTCCTTGCATCTGCGCCTTCGGTTCCCGACATTCCTAAGCCGGCTGCTGGAGAGCCCTTGTTCTTGGAGCTATGTGCTGGTACTGCCATGTTGTCGCGCTGCTTTCATGAGGTCGGCGTCCCGGTCATGCCCATTGACCACCAGCACAATCGGCACCTTCCGTTGGCTAAGGTGTGTAACCTCAGCCTCACTGAGGATTCGACCTGGGACTTTAACAAACATTTCACTTTTCATGCCCGACTGTATATAGGCTCAAGCACCGCCCCTCGTGGAGCGCCGCGAGTAGAGAAAAGTGCGAGGAGAACTTGTGTTCTAGGAAAGGTTAAGAGTAGCCTTTAAACTTTTATGGTAGCGGAGCTGTTGGCAACGGCCAGCAGCTGAAGAAGCAGATCCAGGGAAAGAAGGTAAGCCCAGCCAGAGGGCTGGCAGCCAGCTAGCGAGCTGGAAGAAAGAAAAGGAAAGCAGGAGTTAAGGTTTCTCAACTATGCCCTGCGAAGGTAGAAGTTCGTTTTCCGGTGGGCGTTATCACCGGAGGAAATTCGGAAAGAAGTCAAGAAGACAGCAAGAGTTAAGGTTCATTAACTACGCCTTGCTGAAGCTGAAGGAAACAGGAGTTAAGGTTCATTAACTACGCCCTGTTGGATCAGTAGAGAAAAAGAAGGTGAAGAAGAAGGAGCCTTGAGTCTGGACGACTTGCCTAGATCGTCAGAACAATGGCGGAACAACAAAGAAACTTTGAAGCAATGTTGGCTGGCATTGGCCAGGCCACCGAAGCTCTAGGAAGAGTTGCGAGCCAAACAGCGACTCAGCAACAACAGCTGACAGAAGCAATGCAAAGGCTTACTGAGGCAGCTAGCCAAGGTGCTGCCCAAGCTGCGAGGAACTCCCCGAGAAGTGTGGGAGGTGAAGGAGCGCCAAGGGCGCAACCCTCAGGTGTCCCGTTCGACACCGGAGGAAAGATCTTGAAGCCGCCAGAAGTGTTCAACCCGGCAACATTGGAAGAAGAAGTCTCTCAATGGAGTGACTGGAGTTTCGCCTTTAAGAATTTTCTAGCATTCATGGACTATGAGTTCTTGGCAGACCTGAAGAAAGCTGAAGCATCAACGGATGTGTTGGACATCGAGGACGACATCGATGGATTTTATGCAGCAAGCGAAGGACGAAAGATACGAGGAATGAAGCTGTATTCCGTCTTGAGCAGCTACTTGAAGAATCGCCCGTTGAAGGTGCTAAGAAGTATCGACAACATGGATGGATTCGAAGTCTGGAGGCGACTCACAATGGAGCTCGAGCCATCCTCAAGATCTAGAAGTCTGGCAATGGCCCAAGCCTTGGTAGGATTCCCTGCAATGGCAAAGGGAGCTAGCCTGATGGATGATGTCCTTACGTTCGAGAAGCTGGTCAATGAGTACGAGAAGTTATCGACAACGAAGTACGATGACAATCTGAAGATCGGAACGTTGCTGAAGGGCATCCCGCAGAATCTGAAGCAGCACATCATGGTAGGAATCAATGAGAAGACAAGCTACAACGATTTGAGAACGAAACTGCTACAGTACGAACGAAGCAACCAAACGTGGTCTGCTGAGAACATCCTGGGATCGTTGAGCGTTCAGGCCCCAGGAACAAGTTCAAGCTCCAAGGAGTACCAAGGACCGATCCCAATGGAGATCGACCGTCTGAAGGGAAAAGGAAAACATGACAAAGGAAAAGGAGGATACAAAGGAAGCTACAAAGGAAAAGGGAAGTTTGAGAAAGGAAAAGGAAAAGGAAAAGGAAAAGATAGAAAAGGCGGAAGAGGAAGAGGTCGCGGCAAAGGCCGTGGCAAAGGACGAGGAAGGTTTGTGAGGCAAGTGGAGAGTGGTGGCTACGGAAGTCAAGGAAAAGGTTCAGGTGGAAAAGGATCAAGATCTGGTGTAGAATGCTACAAATGCGGAAAGTATGGTCATTTCGCATCAGAATGTTGGACGTCAGGAAAAGGAGGAAAGGACTCCGGAAAAGGAGGAAAGTCAAAAGGAAAGATGCGACAAGTACGTGAAGGCGAAGAAGATTGGAACCAAGATCAAGAATGGTCAAGTGGTGTGTGGAATGCACCATCACAGTCAAGTACCAGTTCACAGCCAAGCCAGTACCGAAGTCAAGAGCAATCGCAAGTGCGAGTTGCACAAGCTGCAAAAGGGAGTGAACAAGTGAGAAGAGTCAATGAAAGGTCGATGACAAGAATCGAAGAAGTTGAGGAAGAAGACGATGAGGAGGTCGTAGACCTGATCGAGATGTTTCGAGAATGGGGGAACAAGCCCCACGCAAGAACGGTGAAGGTGAAAGAAGTTCAAGTGTTCGACATAAGCCAGGGAGATGAAGAGCTGAACGAGTTGGACGAGTACCAAATGTGGTATGAAGAAGATCGACCAGAAGTCAAACAGGAATCGGTTGAGAATCCAAGTCCAAGTCCAAGTCCAAGTGCCCAAGAAGAAGATCGACCAGAAGTCAGACAGGAATCGATTGAGAATCCAAGTCCAAGTCCAAGTGTCCAAGAAGCAAGTAAGGATCGAGTACGAACGGTTCGGTTACCAGGGTATGAGGACTTGATCGAAGTTGTCCTAGACAGTGGAGCAGACTGCCATGTCTTGCCGTTAAGCTACTACAGCGAAGACCTCGGAGAAGTGGAACTTCCAGCACTGAAGATGGTCATCACGGATGCACAAGGGAACGCAATCAGAACGACTGAAGCGAGGACCAACATAACGTTCGAATTCCAAAGATCCGATGGAAAGGTGATTAAGGTCAAGGACACCGCCGTGTTTGGTCAAGTGACCCAACCGCTGTTCGCAGTGGGGAAGCTGTACAAAGTCGGATGGGGCATCGAGCCCCAGGATGCATACAGCGCTTTCCTGACAAAGCTAGTGAAGAGGAGGAATGGAACGTCGGTATCATATGTCCCGATAAGGTTTTCAAGGAACTCAACGGTGACGGACCTTAGGATCTACCGAGCGGTAATGGAAAATGGACGAGACGATGTTCCAATCTCAATCAGGAAACTTACTCTGACAAAGGAACTGAAAGATGACATAGAGAATGGCAAGTACGAAGAAGGTTGGTTTTATCTCACTGACGGACGGCCAGTGAGAATCGACTGGGACGTGAACACGACGTACAGCCTTGGACGAGACGAAGGAAAGGTGTTCAATTTCAGAACCACACTGAGAACGCGATACGAAGAAGAACAAATAGTCTGGGAAGAAATGGAATTTCATGAGTGTGCCGAGGAGTGGAAAGACAAAGGCACAACGGTCATAGTACCAGAGATCGAGAAAGCAGTGGTCATCACGATCATGGAAAGATTTCCGAGAAGTGTTGAAGATTACGGAGAGTACAGTAGTCCGTACAAGAGAAAGGAACCAGAAGAAAAGCGTGATGTGGAAATGGAACCACAAGAGCAGGACGACTTATGGAAAGGAAGATCAGAAAAGGAGTTGCAGCGAGAGATTGAAAAAGGAATCGAAGAATTGGAACAAGCGCCAAGTTCTGGGTTCGCACCAGGACCGCATATGCAAGAAGAGAACGATGAGAGTGAGCGAAAATGAAGATCGGAGGAATTGAGCTTACACCAGCAAGTACGATAAAGCAGTTGAGAAATGCTTGCGAGTTCCTCAAGATAGGAAAGACAGGAAGTAAAGCTCAAATTTGGCAGAGACTGAAAGAAGCTGTAGCGTCAAACAAGATGAAGGAACTAGTCGAAATCTCGAAAGGACTAGAGGTTGAGTTCTCAAGAGAGCCAGATGGAGAGAAACGACCGGAAGCGCCGAGCGATGAAGAAAGAAAGAGACACGAGCTGACACACTTACCGAAGGCAGACTGGTGTGAATGTTGTTCGGCAACAAGAAGTAGAGAAGATGATTTCAAGATAACAGAGAAGAAGTATGAAGCGTCGTTGGTAAGCATGGATTTCAAGTTCACCGGAACGAGGAACGAAGAAGATGCAAAGGATGTGAAAGATGCATTGTGCATAAGTTTGGTCATGGTGGACCAAGAGACAAAGTTTGTCCACGCAATTCCAGTGCAGAGTAAGGAGGTGACAAACTATCTGGTGGAAGAAGTTTGCAGAGTGTTGATGCTAATGCAGCCGAAAGTAATCCTGAGGACAGACACCGAACCAGCGATGATTGCTTTGAGAAAGAAGGTGCAGACGATAAGGAAAATGCAGAAGCTTGAGACAGAGATCCAAGATGTTGCACCAGACACGCACCAAGGAGCGCAAGTTGAAAGATGGGTACAAACAGTGAGGAACTTATCTAAGACGTTGGTGTATGGAGTGGAGAAAGAAGCGAAGGTAAAGATCACGAGCGAAAGTACACTGTATCCATGGGCACCGAGACATGCAGCATTCCTACTGAACAGGTTTGTTGTACAACAGGGGAAAACCCCGTTCGAGTTGGTATTTGACCGTGAGTACAAAGGAACGTTGGTCCCATGGGGTAGTGTGGTTGTGGCGAAACCACTACCGAAGACAAAAGAGAAAGGTGAAGCATGGAAGAAAGGAATCTTCGTTGGAAAAGATATGGTTTCGAACATGAATCTGGTGAGCACCAGAAGTGGAATCATCAAAAGTCGGACAATGAGACAATGTTCGCCAACGTTTGAAGTGGAAACATTAGCAAATGCATGCGGAACGCCGTGGAACTATAGTCAAGAGCAGTTGACAGGACGGTCGAAGCAGCCGAAGAGGCTGCCGCCATCAAGTGGAATTGAAGTGGCGCCGATCGAAGGACCGCCCGTACAAGTCCCGAGAACTCCAGCAGTTGGTCTGGAGACACCACAGTATAGCCCAACAGCATCGGAAAGACCAAGTGATGCAATGGCGTCTGATCCACCGACAAGTGATGATGATGACAATGACGAAGATCCCGGCGAAGGCCAAAGAAGTTCTGAAGCAAGTAGCAGGAAAGGAGCAGCGGCAAGGAAAAGAGATGAAGCAAGTATGACCTCGGGTGAAGCCGAGGAAGAAGAGCCGGAAGGCACGAGCAAAAGAGAGCTCGAAGGAGCAGCCGCAGAAGAACCTGAAGCCACAAGGCCGAGAGTCGACGAAGGAAGCGGACAAGTTGAAGAAAGACCTGAGAAGATCCAAAGAGGAGAACCCTCAGGAACGGTGAGAAGGATAATGGCCACAAGAAGTGTGCAAGAAGTTGCGTCATTTCTCAGGAAGGATTTGCCGAAGTACCATGACGACGAAGAGGTAGAGTTGGAAGAGTTTGACGGACTCGAAGTCGAGTTTGAAGAGCCTGAAGAGGAAAGAAGTTCAGAGCTCGGAGAAGACGAAGAGTTCGAGGAAAGCATGCCAAGGTGGTCAAACAAGTTCGAAGATGGACCTCCGAAGTTGGACGAAGATGAGCTGACGAAGGTCGACATTGTGTCAAGAGAGCACGAGATAAGCCGACTCACAGAGATGAAAGTCTTGAAAGAGCTGCCTGAAGGCACAAGTGTGAGCAACTACAAGTACCTTTCAACCAAAGTTGTCTACGATTGGAGGCATCGGTATCGTTCTTCGAATGCCTGGAGAAGATAGAGCTTTATTGTTCAAAGGAAACAACATCAAAATGTTGTGGTGAACAAAACATTTGCTTGTTGTTTCAGTGCTTGCCTTTTTGCACAACTTATTTCCAACGCTTGATCAGTTTTATGCTTGTTCATGCAGGATTTGTATTTACTTATACACCCGTCGCAGCGGGACCTCTCAGAGGGCAGGATGCCCGGAAAGTGCTCTTAGAAGCTGATAGATTGTTTTCGAAAAAGGGGGGTTAGCTTGAGCCATGGCAGATGGTGCAGCTTCGGAGCCCCAGACACCGTCCTCTAGTGGGACTGGCGCAGTCAGTTTGGTGCATCGGCATGTGGTTGATGTGCATGCTATGTGTGAAAGGCATCAAGATGAACTTGGTGAACTCAGTCGAGCCCTTGAAGACATATCCAGTCGCTTGCGTGTGTTGGAAGCACGTGTTCAACAAAGTGATGCACGCTTATCTTGGCTGGAGTCGTTCGTGAGACGTTTTCGATCAGCTTTCCATGCTCTTTTTCCATGAGCTGGAGACAGTATGAGCCTGGCCCTGAGTGCTGCTCATTTCTTTCCGCAGTTTTTATGTGGAGCAGGGACACGTGTTTTGCACCTCGTGTTTTTCTTTGAGGCTCGAAGTGCTTCAGGGGGTTGGTACTTATGACTGCCCTCAGGGATTCGTTAGCCCGTCATATTGACGAAATCATCCCATGGAAGACTCCACTGTGGAGACTCATGCAGATCGTCCTTTCAGCTTCTGTGAATATGATAGAGTTGCTTTGTGGGAGATTGATACGAAAATTATGGAACATCATTCTCGTCTTCGCCGATGTTTACAACACATTGCATCTTTGGAAGGTGACGTTCGCAAGGCTCGCGAGTCATTTTTGACGTTTCAGAGTCAGCAACAGACATCAACGTCAGTTCTTGGCTGTGATGTCGAACAGCTCTTTCAGGCGATCCACGCTTTGCGACACATGGTTGAGCTGCAGTTTGATTTACTTAGGCACCTTCAGGAGTCATTCCGACTTCATGCAGACATGATGGTGTGGTCCCTGACGATCGACGGGATCAGGATGTACAACCGGGAGCCCATGCCTCCACCTCAGTTCCCATCGTTAGCGATTCGCATGAGGCATTTCAGGCCTGGCCGGAGGCCTGGTCCGTACTCACCATGACTGGCGAATTCGAGAAAGATGTGACTGTCCATAGACGAAACCTTGTCAGAAAGGGCAAGAGAAAACAGTGCATCGGTTTGACTTTGGCCGAATGCTGGCAAACCTTATATGTTCGAGCACTTGTAGAGACCATTTTTACTCATGTTGTTCTGGTTAACATCAGGATACCTGTAATACCGTTGGATCGTGGCGTCTGCGATGTTGGCGGCCCTGAGCTCAGAGTGCTTGATACATTCGGGTGCAGATCTCCCCTCGGGCCTAGTTGCCTGTTGTCGAGGCTTTGGGTTGGGTACGTTGTTTTGGTTAGAGGAGAAGTGCATTTGTTTGGCAACCTCACGACAAATGACAGACGTATGTGCATCGAGATGCAGTGCAGTGTTGGAGAATCGTTTTGGGACTTGTTTTTCTGTGCAAGCTTGATCACACGACCTAGGTCGTGTTTTCGATTCTGAGCCGAAAGCTCGAGCCAGAAGTGCTCTCATGAGAAGTATAGAGCCCAAGAGGGCCGGCCGAGAAGGGCCGTGCAGCCACGTGACGTGTATCAACACGGAAAGGAAGGATCAGCACCGCAGAGTATCGGTGGTAGACACAGATGTGGTCATTGCAGCAAGTGTTCGTGCATTATTTGTTTTTCTTTGGCCCAAAACCTTAGTTCGTGGCGAGACTCGCCGGGGCATTTTTGTGCAGGAGCACGGAACCTGTGACACGAAGGCAGGTGCCTGGTGGGTCAGATGTACCCATGGCCTTTGATGCCTCCTTTTGGGACGGATTCCCGGGGCAGACGCCGTAGGCGCCGTAGCAGCTCAGACTCGCGCTCAAGAGAGCGAACGAGAGATCGTTCAAGGGGTCGGCGTGGGTCCAGGAGGACGGAACGCAGCCGTGGGAGCACCCCACCCCGCCGCGAAACGGTGCCACCACCCATGCCACCACCACCCGCGTTGCCTATGGCAAGCCCAGGGCATGTATGGCAACAGGTGCCGGTGATGCAGCAACCGGCCTTGATCGGACCAGGGGGCAATGTGCAAGAGACACCCTCCAGTTGGAGAGACAGTTGGAAGTCTCAGTCTCAATGGAAGAAACCCCAACGGCCATGGAACAAGTGGCAGAGTGAGAATTGGAAGAAAGCAAGCCTCAGGAGAGGCCGGCTGCGAGTTATGATGTTAAGGAGGCCACACCTGAGGAAATCAGGGCGGCCGAAGCCCGAAAGGCAGCTGCCGATAAGGCAGGACAAGAGGAGCTCTCCCTGGAAGATGAAGAAGCTGATGATGGGGAATACCTCAAAGCCCTATGGGAGTCGGCCAACACGGCAGCTTGGGCTGCCACGGATCGACCCCTCAGCGCACGGGAGTTGGTCGAGAAGGGGCAGCTTGAGCCCTGGTGGAAGTACCCGTGGAACAAGATCGCGGCCCAATTTGCCGAGGCCTCGGAGTACAAGCCCCATATGTCCCACCTTTCGGTGCCTGATGCAGTTGCTGGCAGAATGGCCACGATTATGGGGGCCTTCCGGCATTACGGACGTCCCTTGGAGGGCGATGGTGATCTTGCCCAAAAGGTTGGGCCGGAGATGTTCACTTTTGATGTCCCGGGCCAGAACGTTTTGTTCGTGGGATGCAACATCAAGGGGCCGAGCTTTGTCCATGATCCCAACTATGCCAACCAGGCCACGATGTGTCATGGCACAAGTTTTGCCTCGGTGATTGGCGTGGCCCAATGTGGAGAAATCACTGTGGGGGACAATCGTGAAGACGGTTTCCCGGCTTATGGATTTTCTGCTCGGGGTGCCCTCGTGGGGTACTCGAAAGATTCCATGGTGGCTGCTGTGAAGAAGACAGCGAGCCGGGCTAAGTCCCTCGGAGGGGCTATGTTGGTGGTGGAAGCTGAGCTCCCGGGTCCCACTCCTCAGGTGGAAGGTGGGCACGATTACCTCCACTCGGCATGCCGAGACTCGGGCTCGGTACGCTCGGGTGAGCATTTTCTGCTCTCGCCCAAGCATGTTGTGCTTCGCGGCATAGCAGTGGGGTGGCCTCGCTGACAGGGTGAGCCGGACCCTTAGTATGAACAGCACAGGATGCAGCGATCAGGCAGATCGGAAACAATTCATTTTGCACATGTGAGTGTTTGCACACGTGAGTGTTGTGTCGCTGCACATGCATCCAATGCGCCAGCAGGGATAACTCACTTTGTTGTTTTGTGATGGATCGGCTCAGTATTCATGTAGCATCTGGGGACTGGCTGATTGGTATTCCTCGTCATGTCCGGTCGAGACCCCAGCTCCAGCGAGGCTGAATTGTTCTTTCGTAACCAGATCCATGCACGATCAGCTTTGCCCAGCCAGCCTTGGGAACAGCCTAGCATGTTGTGCATTTTTGACCCGATGAAGGCGATGTTCCCTCAAGGGTTGGGCGTGCCTTACCAGGGCGGGAGAACACAACCGATGACTGCCTTAACAGCTGGCACGCAGTCTTCGACAAGTATAGCAGATACAGCAACGTCGCATTGCCAGGCCTGGACTCGTGCAGTTAAGGCCCGTCGGGGAGCGAGCTCGCGAGACCGTCAGCACGAAGCTTATCAGAAGGTTTTGCTCTTGCTCCAATCCTTTGCTAGTTTCTTTGACTTGTGTACTCTCATGGAAGATGATACAGAGACTGGTCAGGACTCATTGCAGGCGATTCTGGCTGGCAAATCCCCAGCCACAGTTTTGAAGCATGTGGGGCCAATTCGCACATTTTGTGAATGGCTGGTAAAGTCAGGGAACCTTCCTCCTTTTCCTGAAAAGGTCGTTTGGTCTTTTGTCAACTGCGTCTTGAAGCTGCCCCGAACAGCTGCCACCACTTTGGATACGTGTCTAAAGGCCATCAAATGGAGTTATCATGCCCTGGGATTGCGGGTACGTCTTGAAGTTTTTCAGAGTGCACGTGTCAACGGACTGGTGGCTAAAGCTCTGGCCAACAAGAGTCCATGGGACCCGGCTCCCCCTCTGCAGGTACACGAGGTGTTGCAGCTTCATGCAATCGCTCAGGATGAGGGTATCTCCCTTATCGATAGATGTGGTGCAGTTCATTTCCTGGCCATGCTTTACGGCAGAGCTAGAGCTTCTGATGTTCGTTGTATTCAACCTTTGATTATTGACAAGAGTGGCGCGGATTGGAGTCACGGTTTCATTGAACTAGGTACCCTCCACCACAAAACTTCACGGCTTGATGCTCAGCAACGCCGAATCCTTCCCTTGGTGATTCCGGGAATTGGTATTGCTAAAGTCCCGTTGGGACAACTGCTGCTGGAGTTGAGAGTTGAAGCTGGGTTGCTGAATGATGGGATTGATGTCCCTTTCCTGCCGGCCCCTCGGCCTGATGGGAGTTGGTCTTCGGACCCCCTGTCATCTAGTGAAGTGACCCGCTGGCTGCGTTTTCTACTCCCTCGTCCTGATTGGTGCTCCAAATTCGGCATGCTGAGGGAGACTAAGCGCGTTCTTGGTCATCACGCTGACGCTGCTACAGGATCAGACGCGGTGTACGGTCGGGAGCTGCAGAGTGCTGCGTTGCGCGAGTACATCATTATCCTGGAAGCGGTTGCGTCAGGAAAATTCTTTCCTGACCAAACTAGGAGCGGCCACTTTGCTCAAGGCTGGAACCGTCAAAAGATCATGGAGTCCGCGGCGGTTACACCTGGAGATGATGAAACCAGTCAGGGGGACACGCCCGACGATCAGGACACTGCTTTGGCTGTAGTTTCAGATGCTTCTGATTCGGAGGAGGATAATTCGGAGAGCCCCTCCTACTGGGCTCACCCTACAAGTCAGGTCTTGCACAGAACCACACTTGGGTCTGCTTTGTTTTTGTGCGGTAGAGCTTTTGGCGATCACTACCGCCGCGTCCCTATGGTCAGGGCACATGCTTACCCTCAGTGTTCTAAATGTTTCTCTTAGAGCCACCTTCCCCTCATGGAGAGGTGGTGAGCACGAGCGTAGTTGGAAAATAGCAGGGTGAGTTTGCCGTCATGCCAGCTCGCAGACTCGGGTGTGAGGTCTCTTTTTTGCGAGTGTTTGTTTGGCTCGTGCAGCTTGTAGCGGCCATGACAAGTTCAGTGGACTCGGCCCCTTACTTCCTTCAGAGAGCAGAGGAGATTTTGTTAACCAAGCGGGTCGTTGATGCACTAACTGCCAAAGGGGTCAAAACCTTGGCCCAGTTGGCCTTTTGCGTGGGCCAGCCGGGGCAACTCCTGGCTCAATCGGATTTCGATGCATGGAGCACAGCAGTACTGGCAGACCTTACGGTGGGCGAGAAGGCATCACTGAGACGGTTGATTCTTGAGGCCCAGACGATGTTGGTGGCCTCCCTTAAGGACATGGCAGAACCATCCGAGGGTGTTGCACCTAAGAAGGTGGGACTCGCTGAGCGTAATGCACGCATGGACCAGTTGCGCACTCAGCTTTCGGGGATTTCTCTGACTGGCCAGTTAGAGCCGAGTCATGCCTTGTTGGACATGACCGTTCAGCAGTGGGAAAACCGATGCCTTAAGTACATTGGCCCGGAAAAATGCCACAGCCGCGAGGAGGAAGTTCAGAACTTGAAGCCGTTGACCACAAGCCTCTCCCTCGAAGGGGGAAAACTCAAAGTTACGGAGTCTTCTGGCATGGAAGATCGTGATATAGAGGGATCCCTCCAGGTGTTAAACGCCCTTAGAAGACGGGGAGTTGCATATGCATTCGCCAGGCTGATTAGTTGGGACAAGCGTGAGGCTTACATCTCCTCGCTTTTCAAGTACCTCACCAAACCAGCTCAACAAGGTTACCGTAAGGTTTCCTTGAGGCAGATTCTGCGAGCTGACAAGTTGGCGTTCGCAAAGATGTCCGAGGCAGGAGCAGAGGTTCGTGCAGACGCATCGGGGACTTTGCCCTTGGATGCCAGGATTTCTTCAGTGCTGCAGGATTACGATTTGATCGTTGCGCTCCTTCCTTTGGGGGATTTTGAAGGTGGAGGAAAGTTGCGATTGGGAAAAGGCAACCGTAGTCATCCGTACGAGCATGCTCCGAACAAAGGTAAGCCGGGCAAGGGGAAGTCCTTTTGGAGCCCCAGGGGCTTCGAGTCATGGTCCGGAAAGGGCAAACCCTCGCCCAAGGGCAAGGAGAAGGCTGGCATAGGGAAAGGTTTCGGGGCTGGCAAGTCGGAATGGCTACCCGAGGGCCTACGTTACCAGGGAGCGTCCGCATGGAACAAGAAGGGCAACAAGGTTTGCTACAGTTTCAACCTCGGCGGGTGCACGGACGCCAATTGTCAGAGGGGTGATCATGGTTGCATCATCTACAAGTGTGGTGGTGACCACCCGGTTACCAAGTGCCCGCTGAAGCCTAAAAAGCTGTGACTAGGTGATCCTGGTCTCGATGAGACTTCGCTGGCTCAGGATGTTGAGATGGTTCCTCAGGATGAATCCGTTAGTGGCGTCATCTCTGCTCCGAACCAGGAGGTCGGTATGGAGGCCTTACCTTCAGGTGCGGGATTGGAACCCGTATCTGCGGTTGGGGTTGCCGAAGGTTGTGAATGTGACATTGAATGTTCTTTTTCGATGGCTTCAATGCCGTCGGCCACGACACTGCCAGTTTTCCAAACCGGCGAGGAGACATCTTCTCGGAGCGAGCAGTGTTCTTCGGCTACAGAGCCGCAACAAGTTTTCTCGAATGAACAGCACGGGGGACCTACCCGTGCGATCCTTCAATGTTTTGCTGGGCAGGCCCGTGTGGCTGCGGCTCTGCTCGCGCAGGGTTATTTTGCTTATGGAGTGGATCGTGTTAAACACAAGTCCGCTATGGCACCTGTTTTGCAAATGGACCTGTCCTCTAGGACAGCTTGTGATTCTGTTCTTACTTGGTTGGACAAACGAAAGATTGCGGGGGTGCTGATTTGCATACCAAAGCTCACCTTGGACCCTATCTCTGCGGCATTTGTTTTCGCGGTTATCAATGGATGCCTCGACAGAGACTTGCCGTTAGTGGTCGAAGGCTCTTGCAAGTCCCCATTTTGGGATAATTTGAACCAACTTCCAGACGCTCAGCAAGCACCCCATTGGGTCGAAGTAGAGTGGGGATGCTGGGACCCTGCGAATCAGCAGCGGAGTTTTGTGATGTCGAACCTTCCTGAAATCACCACGGTTAGGCGCGAAGGGCGAGAACCGGCAGGGAAGTCGACAACACTGGAGACCTCCTCAGGGGCCTACCCCCGTGGTTTCGCGACTGCTTTGGCTGAGGTCTTCGCGGCTGGCGTCACAGCGAGAAAACTTCTGTGCCAAAACCCTTCTTTGGCCAATAAGGCCATTCGAGTGTCGGCCATGCACCAACCTCGGGGGCACTTGAATGAGGTCATGCCGGAATGGAAGGTGGTCGTCTATGTGCTGCTGCCTAGATCAGTGACTGAGGACCCTTTCTCAGGATGCAAGCGTCTCAAGCAGGAATGGCGGATTCCGGATGGCATCCGAGTGTTGCCGGGGATGGCCGCCCTGCCGGTGGATTCCCAGCTTCTGTCGCGGACTCAGACAGGGGGGAACTTGAGCCCGCAGCTTCAGCAGGAAATGCAGCAACTGGATGGTGCCTCAGTGCTGAGAGTGGGGATTCCTTGGGATCCGATTGAATTTATTGGAAAGGCAGCAAAGCTAGGACACCCTTATCATCAGCTGTCTAAATGCAACAAACCATTAGAGAAGTTGATCGAGCAACTTGTACATCGTCCAGGTTCGGTGAGATCCCAGAGAAAGTTTTACCTTGAGAAATGGGCTAGAAGAGCCAAAGAACTGGAGCCAGAGGAGGCACAGCTGAAGGCTGGTATGTCCACCCATCGAGAAGCGATCCTCGGACCGAAACGTATCCTCCTCTTCCAAGAAATGCTTCAAGACATTCAATATGATGATATGGGCGTGGTGCAGGAGCTCATTCAGGGAGCCACGCTCACAGGCCCTATCCCAGTGACAGGAGTTTTGGATGCGAAACTGAAGCCAGCCAGGATGGACATTGAACAACTTGTGGACATGTCTGACCAGGTGTGTGAACAGATTTTCGCCAGGACAATATCCAGTGGTGATAGAAACATGGACACGCTGTTGTGGGAGAAAACGTTAGAGGAGGTTGAGAAGGGTCACCTCGCAGGACCTTTCGACGTTCGCCATCTCCCCAAAGGCTGTTTGGTGAGTTCCCGTTTCCCTCTGATGCAGGGAGGCAAACTCCGACCTATCGACAACTACTCTTCCAGTCTCATTAACGACACGGTTACCGTCTCCGAGAAACCTGTTACACATTCAATTGACGAGATCGCACTCCTAATTACCAAGCTATCGAAGGCCGCTAGGAAAAAAGGACTGTTGGAACTCTTCGGGAAGACGGCTGACCTGAAAAGCGCCTATCGACAGTTGGCCATTTCAGATGAGAGTTTAAGATTTTCATACTTGGCAGTATACGACCCGTTTGAGGGGAAGCCCAAATTATTCCAGCAACTGGCGGTACCTTTTGGTTCCACGAAAGCAGTATACTTCTTCTTGAGGGTTGCGAGGGCTCTTTGGACGATCCTGGTGAAAGGAGCCAGAATCCCTACGACGAATTACTTTGACGACTTTGTTCTCCTCGCATTGAGCGGTGACAGGAGTTCGTGTGGGTATACCTTTGATGAGGTCATGAAACTGTTGGGTTGGAAGCTGTCATCAGACAAGACTACGGAGTGGAGCACAAGTTTCGAGGCTTTGGGCGTTTTGTTTGAGATGGACCAAACAGGGACAGGGGTCCTGAAAGTTAAGAACACTGAACGAAGGCGTCGAGAGTTGGTCACAGCCATCAGAGGTCACCTGGAGAATGGTTTGATGGGTCAGAAGGAGGCCCTGCAACTGAGGGGCCGGTTACAGTTCGCACAAGCTCAGTTCTTCGGAAGGTTAGGCAGGAGGTGTCTGGTTGAGATCACGAGACATGCCTATGGTGGGAGGCGGAAAATTCCGGGATACACTAAAGACCTTTTGGAAGAGTTCTGCAAGTTCTTAGACGCTGCTCAGCCCAGGCTAGTGGGACAGGTGTCGTGCAGATCGTTTATGATACTCACCGATGCAGCCTTCGAAACCGAGACGAGGTCTGGTGGATTAGGTGGTGTGCTCCTTACGGGGAGTGGGACAGCGCTGTCGTTCTTCAGTGTTCCGATCTCGGAAATCCAGACTCAAGTGCTATCTATGGAGGATGAGCAAACCATTATCTATGAGCTGGAAATGCTTGGGGTTTTGGTTGGTTTGAAGTTGCTAACAGGCCAGACTGCAGCCTTTGCTGAATCGTATTCCCAGCATGGAGCGACTGCTGGAACTGGGGTAATCGTCTACCTCGACAATGATGCTGCCCGACACGCCTACATCTCGGGATCTGCTAAGAAAGGAGTTGCTGGAATGTTGGTGGATGAAGCAAACTTCCTGGAATATGTTCACGGATTTCTACCGTGGTATGCAAGAGTTGCCTCCCCAGCGAATCTTGCAGATCAACCTTCAAGGTTCCAACTTGATTTGGTTAGGAAGTTAGGATTCAAGGACGAATCGCATGAAGCGAGGAGGATCGTTTCGGCAATTGTGAAGAGGGCCTCGAAACTGAAGGTTTGACACATGGCTCAGGTGAATGGGGAAAGGAGCCCTGTGTCTCACAGGACATTTCGAGACTCAACAACAGTCTTGGGTCTTACAGGAGGGATCGAGATCCAACCAGCCGTGCTCGGTACTGTTTCCCCACAACGTGAAAAGATTCGAACGAGAGCGAGTGATGTGAGCAGAATGCATGTTGCTTGATGAAGATTGTGTCATGCTTGAAGTGTTCAAACACGACATGACATTTCATAACAAGCACGGTTTTGAACAATAAGTATCGTTCTTCGAATGCCTGGAGAAGATAGAGCTTTATTGTTCAAAGGAAACAACATCAAAATGTTGTGGTGAACAAAACATTTGCTTGTTGTTTCAGTGCTTGCCTTTTTGCACAACTTATTTCCAACGCTTGATCAGTTTTATGCTTGTTCATGCAGGATTTGTATTTACTTATACACCCGTCGCAGCGGGACCTCTCAGAGGGCAGGATGCCCGGAAAGTGCTCTTAGAAGCTGATAGATTGTTTTCGAAAAACCCACCCTCGCCGCCCTTGTAATCTAATGTAAACGTTTTCGCAACCACGTCAGGAGAGGACTCGTGTGCATACGAAGTCTCCGGTAAGGGACCAGGCAGCTCAATGAGCGTGTGCAATAAGGAACCTTTGTTAGTGCGGGCCTTACTTCATGTGGTGACAGTTCCGCTTATTTGCTTGACGCATAAAGGCTCGAGTCTTGCTCTTTTCATCGCTGTACTTTTCTCAGCACTCTTCATGGCGCGGTCGTTGACGCGCGATCAGCTAAACGATTTTCGGGTGTGGCTCCACTCTTTGAATATGGATTCCCTCATGAAGGTGGCTGAGGTATTGGACGACCTCATGGCAGACCGCGAGATGCGGCAACAGGAGGCTGTTGCAGCTCGTCAGTCTCAGTGGCAGTTTGTGAACCCTGCACCTGACTTGGAGCAACCAAGTGAAGCTGCCTCGTCAAGCTCTCAGAGACAGCCAGAAACTTCTTGAACTGTCGTTCTGAACCACATGGATATCCTGTTCAGGCCGTCACACTTAGGCCGAACCTGTGAGAGGCCGTGAGTTAGCTGTATTTTCCTCTCGAAGGGGAAAGGAGCCCTGTGTCTCACAGGACATTTCGAGACTCAACAACAGTCTTGGGTCTTACAGGAGGGATCGAGATCCAACCAGCCGTGCTCGGTACTGTTTCCCCACAACGTGAAAAGATTCGAACGAGAGCGAGTGATGTGAGCAGAATGCATGTTGCTTGATGAAGATTGTGTCATGCTTGAAGTGTTCAAACACGACATGACATTTCATAACAAGCACGGTTTTGAACAATAAAGACAGTGAATGGCAACGGCGTGGCCGGTTAGTTGCCCGTGAGTTCAAATGGTTGGGGTCAACGGACATCGCATCGTTATTTTCCCCAACGGGAGTTGCGAGCACAGTGAAGCTACTCTCAGCAATGTTTGTGTCGTCGAAGGACCACATCCTTGGAAGTATCGATGTAGGAGATGCCTACTTGATGGTGGAGCAAGAAGAACCAACAGTCGTCGAAGTCGATGGAAAGTACTATGAACTCGGATTCACGTTGCCAGGACAACGGATAGGATCAAGCGCATGGTTCAACAAGCTGAAAGGATACCTCGAAGAGTATGGACTCAAGTCCGACGAAGGACTACCAGCTTTGTTTTACAGGAGACAAGAAAAAGGAAAAGCTGGAATGGTTGTGTTATCGCACGTGGATGACATGGAACTGTACGCGACAGAGAAAGAGTTCCAAGGATTGATCGAGTTCTTGAGAAAGAAGAAGTTGAAGATCAAGGTCGAAGGACCGTTGCGAGAACAAGAAGGTTCAATGAGTTTTCTGAAGAGAGGATTCAGCGCAGTGAACGATGGAGACGTTGAGATCACGATGAATTCCAAATACATCGAAGGATTGATCGAAGTGTTGGAGTTGGAAAATTCGTATCCAAAGAAACTGCCATGCCCAGCGGACAATGGAAGGGCAATGCAAGCGAAGAAAGGAGGAATGGACCCGCTGTCGGAAGCGGATCATCACACGTACAGGAAAGGTGTAGGTATACTGTTGTACTTAGCGCCAGAACGGCCCGATTTGATGTACGTGCTGAAGAAACTTTCAACGAAGTTAGCAGCGCCGGTGGAAGCAGACATGGAACTGCTGAGGCACGCTGCGAAGTATCTGAAGGGTACACCCGACGTGTCGTTGATACACAAGAAGAGCTACCCAGGAAGAAGTTTTATCGAAGAGCGAAATGAGAGAAAAGATGAAGAAGTCGAGAGAAATGTCTATGAGCAAGAGTCACTGTTGGAAATAGTGACGGATTCTGATTGGGCAGCCGACAGAGAGTCAAGGCAAAGCGTGTCGTGTGGAGCGATCATGCTGAATGGAAATCTGATTCATTTTCAGAGCAAGCGGCAGAAGAGCATAGCTCTCAGCTCATGCGAAGCGGAGACTATCGCCGCAACGTCAATACTTTCTGAAGGAGTGTTCTTGAAAGCATTGTTGACGAGAATCCTCGGAAAAGAACCAAAGATGGTGATGTATTCAGATTCGAGCAGTTCAAGACAACTGATTGCTCGGAAAGGACTGGGGAAAGCCCGTCATCTCGACGTTGATCTGTTATGGATCCAGAGTATCCCGAGGTTGATCATCAAAGCGATCAAAGGCAAGGACAACCCAGCTGATCTGGGAACAAAGAGTCTAAGCAAAGACAAAATCCGAAAGTATATGACAAGCCTCGGATATGTAGGAGAGTTTGTGGACCAAGAAGAAGTTGAAAGGAATGTACAAGTGCGAAGAATGAACGGCAATGGCCGAAGCGGCAATGGCCGACGAATGAACGATGAGCGATTGGCGAAGATCATACAAGCTGTAACGATGGCTGTGTTGATAGGAATGGGAGAAGCCAAGAAAGCCAAGGAAGAAGACCAAGGACCGGGAATAGTCATGTGTATCATGATTGGTTGTGTGACATGCATGGTCTGTTGCACAGTTTATCCCGCAGCCGTTTTCTTGCTCAAACGAGTAGGAAAAGAGGAAAAGAAGAAAGGAAGGAGAACGATGGAAGAAGAGAAGACCCACGAACAAATGATGGAAGAAAAAGTGGAAGAGCTGAAGGAGATGAAGACAGGAGCCGAGGAGCGCAGGAAGAAGTTACTGGAGAATGCTCCAAAAGAAGAGGAACAGGCTGAAGAGCCAAAGGAAGAGGCCAAAGAAGAACTGAAGGAGGAGAAGAAAGAGAAGAAAGAAAAGAAGAAGGAGAAGGATTCGTCGTGCAGTGATTCTGCAAGCGAGTCATCTTCAAGCGAGTCAAGTTCGAGCGACGAGAAAAAGGAAGGAAAAAAGGAGGAAGAAGCCGAAAAAGCCGATGACGATGAAAGATACGTCCTCCTGGCAAAGGAAGGCCTATGGCCAACGATCTTAAGCTCAATGCAGCTGGACGAAAAGGGAGCAAAGATGCTCGAAGAGACAGGGATCGATGGCGACGCCCTAAGGTCCGAAGCGACGCAGAGAATGTTCCAAGAGTTCAAAGAGACAATGGAGAGTCCAGTCGTGAAGATTCCAACGGGATATGGAACAAGGGTGCAACAATGGTTGGCAGCCCTGAAGGAGCAAGAAGAAGATGAGAAGGACTCGGACGAGTTGATGTACGAAGATGTCGCCAATGCAGAAAAGGAAGCGGAAGATGCCGAACGGGCATATGGCGAAAAGTACCGCGAGGTTGAGAAGATGATGGAAGAGTGCAAAAGCCTTAAGTCCACGATGCAGAAGAAGAAGGAAGCTGAAGGACATTTGGCGGAGTACAATGAGTTCAAGCACTCGAGAAGAATGCTGAGCGTGGTAAGGATGCTTGTAGAGACAAGTGAAGAAGTGATGAAGTGTTTGGTGGAAGCATCGCCAGACTACGGTCGGATTTTCGAAGAAAGACCGAGAGTGTCCTTACTCGAGCGAATGCGCAAAAGGAAATTGGCCGAAGGAGCCAGCGAGGCAGAGTCAATGGCTGCAGGCTCGGAAAGGCAAGTGAAGACAAAGGCAATGCCAAAGCCGTTGAAGATGCGCAAGGAGATGGCAGAAGTTGTGCAAGTTGATGATGCCATCGAAGAGGAGAAGGATGAAGGTGAAGGAAAGGAGAAAAAGAGAGAAGAAGACCTGAGCAAGGTCAACCCAAGGTGGCTTTTGAAGTCAAGTGAAAGGAGCACCCGAAGCGAAAAGGAGACGGGAACGCGCCAGCCCGGATGCTTTTTCTGTAAGGGATCGCATCGTGCGATCAAGTGCCAAGAGATGCTGGATTTGGCAAAGGAGATCACGGGAAAAGTCCCAAGTCTCGATTGGCGAGAAAAGGAGAAGCGTGGTTTGTGGTGCAAGTGGTGCTGGTACACAACGAAGAACCCGTCTGAGCATACGGGGTGGGGAAGCCACACCCACCAAAGGTGCTGGTACCAGAAGCAAGGCCAAGAAGTTGAGGCCAAAGTCAAAGCCGAGAAGGAAAAGGCAGGAGCAAAGGAAGTCAATGATGAAGTCCAGAAAATGGTGGATATGAGCGAGAGACCTGCCGAGCCAAAAGGATTGCCACCGAATCCCCAATGGGGGTTGGAGACGCTCAAGAAGAGAAAGGAGCCAGAAACGCCAGGACCAACCGTCGAAGAGGTCCAGACAAGCGATGAAGAAGCGAAGAAGAAGCAAGCAAAGGAGAACATCAAGAAGATCAAGAGAGAAGAAAGGAGAAAGGAACGTGAAGAGAGAAAGAAGGCAAAGAAAGAAGAGAAGAAGGCAAAGAAGGAAGAAAGGAAAAAGGCCAAAGGAAGCGAGGCCAAGGAGCCGACAGCCGAGATCGACAAAGAGGATCTGTAAGCGCTGAAGATCTGAGAAGGATGAGGGCGAACGCCCAGGATTCTGAGGGCAATGGCCCAAGTACCGCATTTTGCGGAGACCGAAAGGTAGAAATCAGTTTCACAAACAATTCGTTTCACCAAGCCAATGGCGAAAATGGAAGGTGCTTTGAAAAGCAAAGAGACAATGCAAAAGCCGCTTGTGAGAAAGGCGTGCAGTGGTCTCGTGTTTCAAAAGAAGATACGAAGAATTGGTATGATGGTTTTGTTGCAAGCCACGGAGCACCACGAACGAAAGCACAAGTTTCAAAGAAACGAAATGCTGAGTTACTGCTGGACTACGACGAGCTCGACACTGGCGAGAAAAAGTGAGTGCAAGCAGTAGAATCGATTTGGTGCACGTAGAGTTGCAGTTGCACAGAAGTGTTTCAATTTGCTCCAGGAGCCAAAGAAGAAAGAAGAAGCTTTACCCGAAGGGGTATGAGAAAAAGGAAGGATGGGCTCAACGGAGCATGAGAGAAAAGTGAGAAGGTGTTTGAAAATCGTTTCACTCAACGAGTTTCAAAGAGGGCGTAACAAACATTTCACTTTTCATGCCCGACTGTATATAGGCTCAAGCACCGCCCCTCGTGGAGCGCCGCGAGTAGAGAAAAGTGCGAGGAGAACTTGTGTTCTAGGAAAGGTTAAGAGTAGCCTTTAAACTTTTAGACTTCCTACGACACTTGATTGACACTTGCGACATCCTGTTTGTGCATGCCGCTCCCCCGTGCGGCACATGCTCTATGGCCCGGCATATCCGGCGCAAGGGTGTGTCTGCTGGCCCCCTTCGTTCCAAGCAGTTCCCTATGGGCTTGCCGTCCCTGAACGGAGTCGACCGGGCAAAGGTCGAGGCTGCAAACCAGATTTACACTAAGCTGGGTCGTTTCCTGCAGGACTTGGGTCGTCGTGCCATTCCTTGGTCTGTCGAGAATCCTGAGTCGAGTGTGCTCTGGCAGCTGCCGTGTTTTCAGCCCTTGGTGCAGGACAACCATGTCTTCTCCTTTGACATGTGTTGTTACGGGGGGTCCCGCCTGACCCACAGGTCTTTGCTCACTTCGTGCTTTGGGCTTCGCCATTTTCGCCAGCGGTGTTCCGGGGGACATGAACATTTGCCGTGGACACCAAAGGTTGCCCCAGGTGGAAAGGTGCACTTCCCTACGGCAGACGAAGCGGCATATCCGCATCCGTTCTGCGTGCAATTTGTGGCGCTCGTTTTCCGCCACCTTGGGCGGCCCCTGCCTGCCACGCCTGCCCCTCAGGTGTCAGCCCAGGCGTCTGCCTCTTCAGCTCGCCAGCCCCGTGGGCGCCGTATCCCTCCTGTCATGCCTGAGTTCAAGCGTGTGCTCGTGTATCAGGTTGCTGCGTTGTTCCAGGTGGATCACAAGCGTCGCCTGCTGCAACCTTTGCGGGATGGCGGGCTCCAAGCTTATCTCCTCGACGTCTTTGCTCTCTGAAGTGGGGTTGAGTAGTGCCTCGGAGACAACGGTTCAGGCGGTTGCCGAGCTAGTTGATTCGAGCTCGTCTGAGTCAGGTGACACTGCGTCTCCTGTGGGCCCGGATGACCAGGCCAGCACGTGCTTTGAAGTGTCGCTGGGTGTGTATGCTTCCCCCGAAGAATTTGTGGATGAATGCCTGAACGTAGAGCACCCCTTTGATCAGCTGCATGCTGCGCCCGATGTGCTCAAACAGTGCCTTTTTGACATGCTGACCAAGGGGCCTGCTTGGGTCGTGGATCGTAGGGCAAAGCTACTCAAGAAGTGGACCCAGTGGGCTCGCGACCTTGAGGCCGAGGAAGCAGGCCTTCGCAAGTCGTTAGACCCTGAGGTTGCAAAGGTGTTGCAAGGTAAAAGGCTCCTGCTTCTTGAGAAGATTGCGTCGTCAATCGGCTGGGTTGACATGGGCGTTTTTGCTGAGCTTAGGAAGGGCTTTGATTTGGTGGGGCATGCAAAGCACACGGGAGTTTTCGCGCTTGAGCCCAGGCCTCCGAAGCTTCCTAAGGATGACTTTCTTGCTGCCACAAAATTTCTTAGGCCAGCCCTGCTGGGTAAGGTAAAATCGTCGTCCATGGATCGTAATGCACGTGAGCTGTGGGAAAAGACGATGCAGGAGGTGGAGAGTGGTATGTTGGAGGGACCTCTGTCGTCGCAGCAGCTGGATGATAGGCATCCCTCTGGCTGGTTGCCCACTCGGCGTTTCGGGGTGGAACAGATTTCTGCTGCCGGGCGCAAGCTGCGGCCTGTTGATGATTTCACCGAGAACAAGGTGAATCTTGCTTTTGGGTCTATGGATAAGCTGGACTTGAATGCGCTTGATCAACTTATCTGCACCTGCCGCATTTGGGCAAGGGCCATGTGTGGGGGGCATGATTGTGAGCTCGTGCTTTCCTCGGGGCTTGTGCTAAAGGGCCGTGTGCATCCTGGTTGGAAGAAGGCAGGGCATCAGCCGCTTCTGACCACACTTGATCTTCGAGCTGCTTACAAGCAGTTCGCAGTGTCAGTCGACTCGCGAGCTTGGGCAGTTATCGCTTTGCTTAACCCTGATACGCTGGTGCCGGGCCTTTTCGAGTCGAAGGCGTTGCCTTTTGGCAGCGCGGCCTCGGTGCTGCATTTCAACCGCCTCTCGAGATTGTTGTGGAGGTTGGGGGTTGAGCTTTTGATTTTATGGGGAAACTTTTTCGACGACTTCCCTGCAATGTCACCGAGTGCCATTTCAGACAATACCATGAGTACAATGACTGCCTTGTGTTCCCTTCTCGGGTTCGCCTTTGCTGACGACAAGCTCAGCCCCTTCCAGCCTGCTGCCACCATGTTGGGGGTTGAGGTCGATTGTTCAAGGTGTGATGAGGGTTTGGTGCTCGTAAGGAACAAGCCTGGTCGTGCTGGGGAACTCGTGGTGTCTCTTGAAGAGTTTCTGCGCGAGGGAGTGATCTCTCGAAAGCGTTACCTCAGTCTCATGGGTCGACTCCACTACACTGATTCGTACATACTTGGTAAGTCGGGCCGTTTGATCATGGCGGACATTCGCTCGTGGGCAAGAGGGCATTGTTCCGATGAGTGGGTCTTGGACGATGCAGCACAGGAATCGCTGCGTCTGTTCATTGCGCGTCTCCGTGCTTGTGAGCCTCGCCAGGTGCCTTGTGGAGTGGCGAGCCACGTTGTGCACGTCTTCACGGATGGCGCCAGCGAGGGTGAGGTGCACTCGATTGGTGGGGTCCTTGTAGTGCAAGGACGGCTGCATTCTTGCTTTGGGTCTCTTGTTCCCGATCATTTGATCAGCAAATGGACCTCCACGATGCGACACATTATCGGGCCGGTTGAATCATATGCAGTTGCGGTGGCAAGGAGAGTTTGGCACCGGTTCATTGCTTCGCAGCGCGCTTTGTTTTTCATCGATAATGTGCAGGCACAAGACTCCTACATAAAGGGCACCTCTGCCAACCCTTACGTGCGGGAAATCCTCCTTTCTTTTGAGGAGTCGGAAAAACTTTCCCCTTCCTGGACGTGGTTCGCCCGTGTGGCGAGTCCAAGCAATGTCGCAGACGAGCCGTCACGTGCTGCCTTCGAGTTTTTGCATAAGGCTCAATGTCGCAGGGTCACTCCCGCGTGTCCCATCAGTGGTTTTGACCTTGTGGATCTTGGCGCCCTTGGAAAAATTTGAAAGTGGGGGGAAGGGGGCGGACGCCAGATCCGTTTCGCCCCATGCGACAAAAAGAGTGCATCCGAGCTTTCAGGCATGTGGGATCCGTTGCTTTGCGAGTGCACCTTCATGTGAGTGCTGAGCTTTGCATTTCCCTGCCAAAACATCTTAAGAGTTTTCTTGGTGGTTTGAAAATCCTTTTATGAAAAGGGATTCAGTAGAAAGCAAGCGCATCTACGATCCCTTTTTCATTTTAGGACAGCGAGGGTACGAGCGTTTTCAAACTGTGATTTTCTTGGACATATGCAGTTGGTTACCTGCGCATGCTTTGAGGGCACAATGCATCACTGCCTGTGCGCGTGAGTGTGCTTGATGTGCAATGCAGTTTTTGTGGGTCACGTTTTGCTTGACTGCGTTTTTCCTTCATGTGCAGAAATTTTCTTGATCGGGTTGCTATCCCGGCTTGCAACGCAGTGCTCAAGTGTGAGCGACAGAGTGAAAATTGTACCCACCCACCACTCCCTGCTCTGGCCCGGGTGCCAGGAGCAGTTGTGTGCACTGCCGTGCTTTGACCTGCTTGACCGACTCTTCGGTCTCGGCCCTGCCGGGCTCGTTGGTTTCACACAGACTCCGTAGCAGCTGTAGCCACAGCTCCGTAGTGCAGTAGCCCGTAGCTGGCGTGCGTGCTGCTCTCCCACCCGCCTCACCCACGCCCCCGAAGGGGGCGGACGCCAGATCCGTTTCGCCCCATGCGACAAAAAGAGTGCATCCGAGCTTTCAGGCATGTGGGATCCGTTGCTTTGCGAGTGCACCTTCATGTGAGTGCTGAGCTTTGCATTTCCCTGCCAAAACATCTTAAGAGTTTTCTTGGTGGTTTGAAAATCCTTTTATGAAAATGCTCACTGATTCGGAGGCAAGCAGTTACACCCTGTCGCTTCTGTGGGGCGCAAGTACGTCATGCGGTCGCACACACATCTAAATGTCCTACCATTTGGCAGGTATGTCTTCTGACGCGGATGTGGAATGATGATCGTGCTATAGGCCCCTTGATCTACAACGAAACCGAAGCAATGTGCTACGACTCGCCAGAGAGCGCCAATCCCGACACTCTAAGGCCCACAAACAAAAACGATTGGCAGCAAACGAGCCTCTGCTTAGTCAGACTGTGAGCACCGATTTCTTTCCACCCACGTCAGAGGTTGAGCAAGCACGAACCCCAAGCCACAACTGGATGCAGCCGCTCGAGGACATCTCGTGGTGTGAACGTGCTCGACATCAATGCATCCAGTGCAAAGTGCCCACTGCGGATGTGCGTGATTTCATGCAACATTGTACTTCTGCACATGAGGGATTTTGGCAACACAGAACAGACTATGTTCAAGATAGCATTTTGCTCAATCAAGCTACGACACCGTGCTGTTGGTGCAGAGCTACGACACACAGGCCGACGTTGCATGCACAATACTGTATTCCAGTGATGAATGCAGCACTGTTACATTACGAGACTGTCAGTCGATTTTTCGAGGATGGAAACCACGCCGATGGACGAGCTCAAAAGCATGTACGGCGAAATGTTGCCGTCCTTGGGCAGCACCACTTGTACCCCGGAGACCACACCAACAAGATCAACCGGGAAGAGATCGGCCTCCCGACGCACCAGAACGGTCACAAAACGCAGGGCCGGAAGAGCACAAAGGGCCGAGGCAGGGGACGCGGAGCACCGCGCCCGAAGACGTCTCTATTCCAAGAGAGCTCCAGCCTCATGGACGACACGTACCACCTGGTAAAGGACATGGTCAAGGAGTTGGTCCGCCTGTCGCTGAGGCACGAGCAGCAACTGATGCGATTGGGCCAGGACAATGTCTTGCTGTTCACGTTCCAGAACAAGCCAGGCGAGAAGGAGAACATCCTGCCCGCATTGTTCAAGATAAGCCAGGCCTGGAAGCAAAAGATGGAGTGCGAAACCAAGCCGACAATGTCCTTGAGGGTTACGGTGATGCAGTGCATTTGTGCGGAGCTCCTCGACGGTGACTACCACGGAGGCGTTCAAAGCAGTGGTGATCCGACAGCAGTGGATGACACAGGAGGGACACTGGAATTTTCTACGCTGGAATGCCGAGACGGAGCAGCTGGACAAGATCGAGGGCCAGGGCATCACGCAAGAGGAGTTGGAACAGTTGATCGAGACCATCCAACAGAGTTGCATGCTGACAGGTGCCCTATACAGGTTTCAGGCGACCCGAAAACTGGCTGCAGAACTTGCGGGCCACCAACTAACCTTTGTCGCGGAGGTGGGACTGAGGCAGCCAGGAGCGCAGACTTTATACCAATCCCTCGCCAGGATCCAGGGGGTGGCGGCGTTGCAGCTAGTGGGTCTACGAGTTCATCACCCTCGACTCCAGATGTCGCCACTGGCAGACACGCTCAGCCGCTATCTCAAATGGTCACTGCCTTGGCATTGCGTAATCCTACCAACCTCTGCTACTTGAATTCCGTTGTCAGTGTCTGGTTATGGCTTGCAGCAAAAACCACAGGTGAATCGAACAAACTCTTTGGACGAGCTTCAGAAGCTTTTCAACGTATCTTGGCATCAAGTAATGCATCACCATATATTGCTGGCATGCTTGCATGGCGTCAGATACTTCTGACATGGCCACAACTACATCAACAAAATGATGCTCATGAATTCTGGATATATCTTCAGGATTTTGCCAAAGTGCCTGTCTTCGAAGGAGTTTGGGAGGCAAGGACTGCAGTAGAGGGCCCCAGACGATATATCCGTGAGCTTCAGGGTACACTTTCAACAGGAGTGACTGTTCCATTGCCACAACGAACCACGGACTTGGACTCCTGCATAGCTGCTTGGTGTAGGCAGCCTTTTACACATGCTCTGGTGCAGGCGCCTCTTTGGTTATGCATACATTTGCCGAGATATGTCGAACAGGCCGGCAGGATCTATAAAAACAAGGTCTGCGTTCGAATTGATCCGGGAAATGTTACTTATGTACCGATCTTTTGCAGAAATGGTACCACTGTGCAATGGATGCCGTACAGAATTCTTGCAGGCATCACTCACGCTGGGCGTGACACGAAGAGTGGGCACTACCGTGCCTTCTTAAGTGATGCACCGCTGAGTCCCAACATCTGGTTTACCGATGACGGCCAGCCGGCAAAAAGCTGCACGGATGACCTTCTGCATCACATACACCATGAATGCTACATGTGTTTCCTTGCACGCGTATGAAGATTCTCCTGCAATGTATTGCTGACATGTGTGGTTGAGGACACCTCCCGCAGTGAAGGTACTGGCGATCTTTTCAATGGACGCGCTTCATGAAATACACCTGACATGCTTTTCACCCAAACATCTAACCAGATGTAGTGTTGTACAGCTTTATCTGATGGACTGCGAGGTTCAAGGACCGGGTCAACTGCTCGTTTTCTGACCTGCTTGCATCTCGATGCGGGGTCTATCCCTCACCGAACATGTACATCAGAGATTTATTTCTCACCTGCCATCACGATTGGCCGCATGCTCTTGGCATGTGTTTTTCTGTACATTGTGTCGTGCTAGGCTTCCTCACCCGAAGCTGCGTATGCAAATGCAAAATGGGGTTTCAGGGTTTAGGGTTTAGGGATTTTTTAGGTTTTTGTGTTTTATGGGTTTCGAGCCTAGGGGTTTTAGGGTTTAGGGCTTTGGGTTTAGGGTGATTTTAGGGTTTAGGGCTCAGGGTTTTACGATTTTCCGGTTTAGGTTTATAGTTTTTGTAGGGTTGAGGGTTGAGGGATTCCTTTTAGGGGTTTTGCGTTTTGTGGGTTTAGAGCTTAGGGTTTTTTCGGGTTTAGGGCTCAGGGGATTTTAGAGTTTGTGGGTTCAGGGCTTTTCGGGTTTTGGGTCCAGAGGTTTCACGGTTTAGGTTTATGGTTTTGGTTTAGGGGTTTTAAGGGGTTTTGGGTTTTATGAGTTTAGAGCTTAGGGGTTTTTAGGGTTTAGGGCTCAGGGGATTTCAGGGTTTAGGTTTTTTTCGGGTTTAGGTTTTTTTCGGGTTTAGGGTGCAGATGTTTCACGGTTTAAGTTTTTGGTCTTTTAGGGTTTAGGGGTTAGGGGTTTTCAGCGCATACTGTTTAGGGTTTTGCAGGGTTTAGGGTTTTTAGGGTTTAGGGGCTTTTCGGGTTTAGGAAGGGTGTCAAGGTTTTGCCTTGGGGTTTGCAGGGTTTAGGGCTTGGGGGTTTTTGGGCTAGGGCTGAGGGTTGATCAGGGTTTAGGGTTTCGGGTTCTCAGGTGATTTTGGACTGAGGGCTTGAGGTCTTTTAGGGTTGGATTAGGGTTTTGGGTTTAGGGTTTTTTAGGGTTTAGGGTTGTTTAGGGTTTAAGGTTTTTTGGGGGTTCAGGGTGGGTGAAGGGTTTGGGAATTTTTGTGGGGTTTATTTTCAGGTTTGGCTCAGGGGTTTTTAGGCTCGGGGCTTTTTGGGGTTTAGGGTTTCGGGGATTTTAGGGTTTAGGGTTTAGGGCCTAGGGGTGTTTAGCCCCCCCTCCCATTTGCAAACGCAACGCTCGCGTGATGGGTTCGAAAAAGAATACGGCGGGGGGCAGCCCTCCCGCATTTGCAAACACAATGCTCGGCTGATGGGTTTGAAAAAAATCACCTGAAGCAAGCTTGTGCAGCTTAACAAGCAGAGGGGTTGGGGCAGCCCTCCCATTTGAAAACGCGACGCTGGCACCCATTTGCTGAACACAACCTCAAAGCAAACTGGACTGATCGCCCAGAGAGCTGATTTGCAAGTTTTGCTTGTTGGTGGTTTAGGCGTAATACACCCCAAACCTCTAAGACCTTATGCCGCGTTTGCACAGATGCACACCCTGCAGGCCGTCCCAAGGTGTGGTGTGAGGTTGTGCAGTGTATAGTTTTATGTGCTATTTTGGTCTAGGGGAAGGCTACAGAGTAAACCCCTTAGCGTTGCGTGTGATCTTTTCTTTTTTATACACGCATGTTTTGCTACTGCTTGTCTTGGCGTTGCAT